TAATGTTTTATTATAAATTATTAATTATTATATTACTAGATATGCATCAGAAGGAAAAACATCGAGGAAGTGAAAGATTTTCAATGATAATTAATTGCTTGAATTTTTAAAATGAAACCAATAAACCTAATAAGATATTAAATTATATAATAAACTATTACTTTAACAAAGGGTTAAGATATATATCTCCGATTAATATCAAATCCTCACCTCTACGTGTTATATCTATCTAAAAGAAACAATAACTATCTCCATTATTTCTCGAGTTCAACAAATGTAAGGGTTGATATATAACAAATAAATAATTAAATAAAACAAATTGGTCATACTTTCACTTCCAAAAAAAATAATAATAGATACCTTATTCACTAAATTATACTCGTATTAACCACCATAATACATAATATAATTATAAAAAAACTTTAGTCCCATATTATCGTGATATATTTATGAATATTTATTTTTAATTATAATTAACTAGGAACAACGGCTAGTAATATAACATTTATAAATAACTATTTTAAGCTAATGATAATTTTTCTCTCAAGTAGGAATATTATTCACAGAAACTCAGTGGCTTATTATTGTATATATACTTTTTTAAAAAAATATTTTTAATTAAGTGTTTGGTTACATTTTCTAAAAGTATTTTTAAAATAAATTTGTTTCATTATACTTTAAAAGCAACATTTTTTTGGATATTTATTTTCGAAGTACTTATTTAAAATGTGTTTATAAATCAATGTGATCTTTCTGTCAAAGTTTTATCTAAATTAGGAATATAATTAATATTGTTGTACTCAAATTAGGAATATAATTAATATTGTTGTACTCAGTCCTGGTTAGTTTTGTGTAGACAAAATAAGTATAACTGGTAATTGACATATATCTCAAACTATAAGGTTGTGTATTTATTACTTTTATATTATAGTCGATCTATTATTAACAAAGGACCATTTGATTTCGTTTTTAGTTTTTTAAAAATAGGATGGTTGGACAATTCAATTTTCCATCTTTTCCTTTAAAAATAATTTTGAAATTCTAGGTAAATTTAAAAAAAAAAAAAGTTTTCAAAGACAGATTTATGCTGATTTTTTTTAATACCCAACTCTTTTTCCTCATATTTAACTTTAAAAAATTTATTTCTCATTCTAATTTTTTTTTTCTTTCTTTAGTTTTCTCTCTCTAAAATTTTGATATTTTGAATATTTCATTTTTCCTAATTTTTCGTTTATATGTATTTTTGTTTTTTATTTTTGTAATAGATCAATTTCATTTCTCTCTTTAAAAATTAAATATTTTTCCAAACTTTCTTCACTCTAAAATTTCTTTTATAACTTTTCTTTCCATTCCTAATCTATTTTTCCTCTAAAAATTATATCTTTTTTCTCGTTCAATTTTCTTTCGGCGTAAGATTTATTTATCTGTATATTTATTTATTTTCTCTAAAAAATATATTTTGAATCTTTTTCTTATCTCTAAAATTTTTTCTACTATAATTTTTATCTTTCTTTCTAATTTTCTTTTTTTCTTTAACATATCTTTTCCGATCGACTTTACCTTTTCTTCTCTAAAAGTTTTCTCTTTTTGTCTTTAACTTTTCTTTCATTAATTTTTTTTCTAAATTTTTTTATTTACCTCTCTAAAATTTATCTTCCAAAAGTTTATTTACATCTAAAATTCTATTTTCATTTGTGGGATGACAAAAATTTCCGCAGGATCAGACCCCAAAAATAGGAAATGCATGTCCCGACCCGTCCCCAATTCTAATTTTTAATAATTAATATATATTTATTACGCTTTTTTATTTTTTAAGTTCTAAAAATAATTAAAAGCAATTATAAACCGATGATTTTTCTCGACGGCATCTCTTGGATCGAGAAACAAGAAGCAGACACGGATTAAAAATTTTCACGAGCACGAGAATAGGGAAGAGCACACACCATTGTCATATCTCCCATACATAAGATTTTCTCTCTTCCAATTTTCTAATTTTTTTAAAAACAAAAAACTAAAAATAGTTACCAAACATGTTTAGTTTTCCATTTTTTAAAAGCAAAAAACAAAAAATGATTATTAAAAATTTTTGTTTTGAAAACCAAAAATTAAAAATAGAAAAACCAAAAACATAAATATAAATGGTCATCAAACGAGGCCTAAGGGTTTGAATTAGTGTTTTTTTAGTTTTTTTTTTTACTAAAAAACACTGATTGTAAACTCTTGGACAAATTTATTTTCCTAAATGTCTTTGTTATTATTTTTATTTTTTTCGCTATATTTTTACAAATGTCTTTGTCGTTTCAATTCTTCTTTTAGCTGTAAATTTTTAATATTTTATCTAAATTGTATTACTTTGAACTAAATTATTTTCTAGCCGTACAAAATAAGCTATGATGAGTCAACTTTTAGTCGGTCAAAGTCTTCTTCTTTCTTTTTTTTTTTTCAATTGTGGAAAAGCAAACTCAAAAGCCCCAAATTATTGACTCAAAAACCCCACACGGCAAATCATTGTGATGACTGAAAAGCTGATGAAGGTTTTTAATATAATAATTCGGAATTCCATTTTTTATTTTTTATTTCTAATTTTACTAAAAAAATTTAATCATTTGCCAACTATTTATATTAGTTGTATTTCATTTAAAATAACTTTAAGATAGGTTAAAGATTCCACGTTGAAGAGATAAAGAGGCCTAACAATGGTTTACAATATAACTGGATTACCGTTCTCATAGTCAATAAATTTTGAGATGAAACCTATCAATATTAACATTGTATCAGAGTTCAAAAGTTCAAACGAGCATCTGTAAGTACCAATTAATTTTGAGATGGAATCAAGATATACACATGTAGTACATGAGATCTATTTGTTTCCTTTCAAAAATTTAAGCAATTAACTATCATTAAAATCTTTGAATTTACTGCTCTAATATATATTCCAAAATGTTTGGTCCTTCGAAAATACATTATTTAACATTTTATAATTAATTGCTCAAATTTTAAAAATGCAATTAATGAACTATTAAACAATTATTTATATACAATTTATCATATTTAAGAAAAGACAATAAATACATTTTATTTAAGTTCAACAAAGATAAAGATTGAGATCAATCTTAAACCTCAAGGAAAGTAATAGGTATCCTATTCAAGTTATGATTCGATTGACAACAATTAATACATAATATAATTGTAAAAAAAAAAAAAACTTTTGTTTCATATTCTCGTGATATATTTATAGACTCTAATTATTGCTTAAAAACTATTTTTTTAATTATAATTAAACACATTATAATTCAACCAGGAACCATTATTAGTACTACATTAACAAATAACTAAAAATATGTTTGTCTCAAAAAAAATAAAAATAAAAATTATATTTTTGAATCATTTTCATCTTTTAAAAAAAAATTACAGAAATTTTTTTATTTAGAATCAAATGAGACAATTTTTTTTAATTATGATTAAACACATTATATTTTTTGATACCGTGATTGTAACTCAAAAAGTATATATAAAATACTTAAAAATTTTATATGAATTATATACTTCATATTAAGTATATCAATTTTCTTTCGATTAAATTTTTTAAAAAGATATATAAAATTTAGAAAGAAAATTCATACCCAGCTAAAAAAAATATATGTGTAATACTTAACAAATTTATTGCCTCACTTGATAAATTGGAGAGAGAGAGAGATATAATGTTAGAGAAACGAGGGATCCTAGAGTTTTTAAAATAAAATTGCCTAATTATACAAAATGTCCTTAATAATCTACGTAATTATTTTCAATTTTGCCTTCACATTTTAATTTATTGTGAAAAGAAAAAACGGATCGTTAGCAATTTTCATTTTAATTACTAATTCAAACTTTAAAAATGTTAAAAGGCAAATAATTGAAACCACCTCCCTATATATTATGAAATAAAAAATGAAACTAATTAATTTATACAAAATCCCTAACTTTTTAATATTCTAAAATTACCTAACATATCCTGTAAAAAAAATATGTTAGGTATACTAAACATATTTTTTATCACTTGAAAATCAATAATTAATTTAAATGTTGGTTAGCTATAATTGTAATAATTATTTATTGACTTAATTAACAATAATCACCGATCTAGGTATATTATTGATTTTGCTACCTACCAACACTTTCATTCAACTAATGATTTAGTCCATGAACTTTAATTTATACGGTTTAGTTCTTAGAATTTCAAATTACTAATTATTTAATTCTGAACTTTAGTATCAATAATTTAAAGTTGGTAATGGTTTAGTCCCTATAGTAAAAAAATTTGTTAACTTTTTTATACATGTAAATCAATAAATTGATGAGAGACAAAATGTATTTATAAATTATAAAAAATAAAAAACGACACTTAATCTTAATAAAAAAAATTTCACAACGTAACAAAATTGTTACAAATTTTAAACTATAGAAACTAAATTGTTACACGCTAAATTACATGGATTAAATTGTTACAAATTTGAATGTACATGAATTAAATTGTTATAAATTAGAGACTAAATTATTACTCAACAAACTGCAAGGATCAAATATATTTTTTAACTTAATTTATATCTAGATTATATTAAGTCATATGTCTCTGGAAAGGTCACGAAGATTGATGTACGTAACTCGTTGGGCTACACCAATTATCAATATTCTTATTTCAATGGAACGCAAAGCTTTACGGTCACCTCACTAGAGTACAAAAGATCATGCTTGGGAGGTGAGATCAATCCTTTGATACTCGAACTCAAATATTTGAACTATTTGGACTTGAGTCTAAACAATTTTGAACATGCTCCAATTCCATCTTTCTTTGGGAGGTTAAAAAATTTGAGGTATCTTAATCTCTCTTCCGCATCTTTTAATGGAGATGTTCCTCCCCATCTAGGAAATTTGTCCCATTTGAAGTATTTAGACCTTTCTGCATCTCACCAAGTTTATGAAGAAGGATTTGAGGCAAGAGTGCGAGTTGAAAACCTGTCATGGCTCTCGAGTCTTTCGTCTTTAGAGTACCTTGATATTGGAAGTATGGATTTGAGTAGAGTACAAGCAAATTGGATGCATGCAATCAATAAACTTTCTTCCTTATCAGAACTACGCTTGGAGGATTGTAATATTCCAAGCTTTGATAGTTCAATTGGTTTTCAAAATCTCACTTCCCTCAGGGTTCTTAATTTAGGAAGAAATTTTATAAACACTTGGTTGCCTTTGTGGTTAATGAATCTTACAAGCCTTACAACACTTGATCTGAGTGGCAATTCTTTTCAAGGTACGATTCATCGAGACTTTGTGAAATTAAAACACCTTCAATATCTTGATTTAAGTTTCAACGATTTAAGGAATATTGGAGATCACAAGCCAAGTTTTTTTTTTTAAGAAATCTTTGCAAGTTACGGTCTTTTCGTCTAATTGGAAACGTTTTTGGCGGTACAATTTCTGATCTTTTGGGAAGTTCCTCAAATTGCTCCCACAATAGGTTGGAAGTTTTGGACCTGACACGTACTGAACTGGTGGGACAGATTCCAAATTCACTAGGGACACTTGAGAATCTAAGATTCCTGTATCTTTCATATAACAAATTATGGGGTTCACTCCCAAATTCAATTGGAAACTTATCCTCGTTGCAATATCTGAAAGCCTCCTATAATCGGTTCAATGGAACTATACCTCCAAGTTTTGGGCAGCTTTCAAAACTTATTGAATTTTCTAGTAACGAAAATTCGTGGCAAGGGATCATCACAGAAGATCACTTGGTGAATTTGACAAAGTTGGAATCCCTTCAGATTTATACAAACAAAAATCAATCCTTGATATTTTCTAACGTGTCATATGAATGGAATCCTCCTTTTAGGCTCAAGACACTTTATTTGAGGAAATGCATCATTGGCCCTCAATTTCCAATTTGGCTTCAAGTTCAAACTCAACTTGCTGGTGATGTCATTATCTCAGATGCTGGGATTCGTGGTCCTATACCAAATGAGTGGGTTTCTAAACTGTCCTCTCAAATCACCGGCTTGGATCTATCCTACAACTTGCTTGAAGGAAAGTTAGCTGACCTACTGGCTCCTCAACACCCAAATTATGATCTCCCTGAGGATTCAACACCAATTAGGTATCCTAATCTAACCTTTCTATATCTTGATGGAAATTTGTTATCAGGGTCTATACCTTCAAATATTGGTGATTTGATGCCCAATTTGGAACAACTATATTTGTCGGAGAATCGTCTCAACGGTACAATTCCATTGTCCATTCAAAATATGAGTAATTTTGGAATAATTTCATTACCAGACAATCAACTATCAGGAGACCTGTTAGATATTTCTTGGGGTAAGTTTAAATCATTAGAAGTTATTGATTTGGCCAACAATAATCTATATGGGAAGATTCCAAGCTCAATAGGGTTTTTGACATACCTCAAAACATTAAGGTTAAGCAACAATCATCTCCATGGAGGAATTCCCAAATCTTTGCATAACTGTTCAGACCTCAGGAGCATTGATCTTAGTGGAAATAGACTATACGGAAGCCTTCCTTTGTGGATAGGACTAGATGTGTCAAAATTGTGGTTGCTGAATCTTCGATCAAACCATTTCAGTGGAACTATCCCATCACAGTTGTGCAATCTTCGATGGCTTCGGCTACTAGATCTCTCAAACAACAATATTTCTGGAGGAATTCCAAGTTGTTTGAATAATTCAGAACCTTTAGTTTCTGAAAGGTCCATTAGTGCCAATGAATTGTACCTCATGACTCATATTTTTAGCCACAACTATCACTTTCGAACAGAGAAAACAACACTGGTCATGAAAGGAAGAGAGGATGAATATAGTGTCATTCTCAATCGTGTTCTGACAATAGACCTTTCAAGAAATAAGTTGAGTGGTGAGATTCCAAATGAGATAACAAATCTTCGTGGTCTAGTTGCTCTAAACTTGTCCAATAATGATCTTGTTGGTAGCATTCCAGAAAATATTGGAGCCATGCAACAGTTAGAAACACTTGATCTCTCCTGCAACCATCTCTCTGGAAAGATTCCAACCAGCATAGCTTCTTTAAATTTTTTGGCACACTTGAATCTGTCATTCAACAATTTGACTGGTCGAGTACCCACTGGCAAGCAGCTCCAAACACTGAATGACCCCTCCATTTATGAAGGCAACTCTCTAGAAACCAAGAGCTCGGGAGACGAAAATGCAAATACAGGCAATGTTCTTATTTTGGGTATTAAAGATGGTAAGGAAAATGAATCCGAAATGTTTGGCATCTTTATCAGCATGGCAATTGGCTTTCCTGTTGGCCTCAACATCTGGTTTTTCACCATTTTCACAAATGAATCACGGAGAATATTGTACCTGCGTTTTATAGATCGTATCAGCTACGACATACTCGAAAAAATCGGTTTTGTTGTATCATGCACCAGAAAGATGAGAAGGAGAAGAAGTTAGTAAAGGTGCTCATGGAACATCTCTAGAAACTTGGCTGCCTAAGGAGAAGTACGTTTGGCAAATTTATTTCCATACGTGAGTTGTTACGTTGTATCCCGTTTACAAGGTATGTAGCGTTTTTTCTAATGTTTGTTTGTTGCATTTTTGACTTTCTTATTCGTGTTACTACCGTCTTATTATTTGATCTTAAGATGTAATATGTATCTTAAGATAATATATATTATGTACTAATCATTTGATAATCTATTTTAAATCTCTAGGTGTGGCCTCGTAGTGTAGGTTGTGAACCGAACCACATTAAAAATATCGTGTGTCCATCTATCTTTCTAACTTTACATATTCTTAACATTCTTGCGAGTCAAATTAATTTTTAGTTTGCTCACAAAATTACAATAAAAAAGTAAATTTTATAATATCGTTACCATCCCAACAAATTATTAAATAATAATTAGGTTCCACAGTATAAAAATTCTAAAAACCATATTTTAATATTTATGAGTAATGATATAGAATACAATTAAAATAGGAAAACACAACAACTCACCTCAACACGATGAAATTAAGAAATACAAAAATAAATATCATATTTTTTTCAGTTAAAAATTATGAGTGAACTGAGTCATATTTTAAAATGAAAAGAGAGGTCTAATCTATGAAACCAACCTTAAATTGACAACTAAAACAGTATTTTTTTCAGCCGAACATATTTTAGCCAAAATTAGAATACAACCAACGGTATTTTTCAGCTGAATATATTTTAACTAAAATTAGAATGCAATTAGTTATTAATGAATATTAATAACTAATTGTACTCTAATTTCATGTAAAATAGGTCTTTGAGCTCAATATATCTATATCTATATCTATATCTAATAGTATATATAAAAGCCACTCTTAGGAGAAACTTTGTGTTCCATTTTTACCCTCTCATTTTAACTCTTTTCACTATTCTTTTGATTGTAATTGTGTAATTTAAATACAAATTTTCTCTCTCTCCCTCACGATCCCACCCCTCAAATTCCCCTCTCCCTTCATTTAAGCCATAATACCTTTCAGTATTTCATCTCCCTATTTCAATTTTTCCATATACTATGAATCAAGACAATAATTAGAAGATCATTAATGTTCCATTATCTTTATTCCATTTAACTTCTAAAAACTCTTTCATCTTCTTCATCTTTTTTAGAGATATATATATATACATAGTGGGTGAGATAAATACAAAATGCAAAGGGGAGAGCACTAAAAAACTTGCGAGAAAGTGAGATTTTCGTTCTCACCATACTTAACCAAAGGGCATAGTAGAAGTCGTTACAGGAAAGACAGAGGGTATAACAGTTGTAGTCGAGGTCGCAAAATGTTGTTGCTTTAAACTTGTATGCTAGGGGCGCGATCGAGAGAGGGAACGGTAGTGGCGAGCCAGAAGGAGAAAGCTGTTGAGACAGTAGCGGCACTGGATAGAAGAAGACGACATATAGTGAAAGGTGATACACGCGTGAAGGGAGAGGAGAAAAAAATTGGTTTCTATAATTTGTGCATTTATGTGTTTAGAAATACAAAATCCTTGTAGTCGGGCTTTGTTATTAGCTGAAGTTTATTGGTTGAGCTACATATGATAATATTGGGTTGGTATAGGTAAAAATAGGTGAGAAGTATAATAGGTAATTATTAAGTAACTTTCCCACTTCTAATTTAGAAATAAAGTCCTGTATTGTATTATATAAAACAATTATTAATTTCATTAACATGTTTAAATTCAGTTTCAATTTTGTTGAATAATTAATTATCCTTTATTTTTAAATTATAATTACAAAAAAAGTTGTAAGTAAATAATATATTGTGATATTTTTTGACGATAAATGAAGAATTGTAATTAATCCCGATAAAATATTTTTATAAAAAATCATGATAAAATATAATACGTAGTTCAGCATTCATGAAACATCGTATGTGTTGATTTAAATTCCAATAAAAAAATATTCATATGAAAAAAAAATTATCTAAGATATTCACCTAAATAAATAATTAGGAATCGTAAAAACCATAAATAAATGAACAGAAAATATGTTTAAATGAATATTTTGTATTAATTAAAACTGATACAATATAATACAAATATCTAAAATATTCATATAATAATAATAAAATACCGAAACCAACATCTTCAATTTTATAAAATTAGGTTACGTTGTAATTTATCACTTTTTTTAATTCATTTTTTTGTACTTAAAAATAAAACTTTCGAGTTCCACGTGCATCGCACGTGTTTCTTACCAGTCTTATTTAAACTAGGAATCCACAATCACCTATGGAACATAAGTTAGGTGTTAAAGCCAAAAAATATCCACTTATAATACAGGCAGTCTTTATTTTTCTCACAAAAAATACGCTCAACCCCACATCACATATTAATATTTTTAATGACTTTGGGTGAAGTGGAACTAAATGAACAGTTTCTTCCCAATTGAGTCAAACTTAATGATATTTCTTAAATATCAATACTTAGCTGATGAGTTAAATCTAGGTTSAATCTTCCATCTTCACATATGTGCTACTAAAAATTTGATATTTTCTAAATATTAATAAAAGAATTATTTTTTATCATTTCAAGCTCATGATTATGTTGCACGTATAAAATGCAAAAATTTAAAATTAGAAAAAAAAATGAAATAGCGTTTTTGGATATTTTAAGCTTAAAAATCAAAAAAAAAAAAATTTGGATGGTATCTAAACTAGTTATCGGAATGAAAGAAATAAGAAAATATTATCACCGTATTTTATTTCTAAAAAAATAATAAATTAGAAATCTTAAGGAATTTGGACTGAATAGACACTTTAAAAAGCCAGTATTGTTTTATAATCACCGGCACTTCTCGTTGTGATCAATGATCATCGTTCCCCTCCATTTATGTTTATCTCCCTCCACCATCTCCCTTATTTTTTTCTCTTCCCTTTCTCTCTTATTCCCTACGGCCTTTATCTCTCTCCCTCTTCCTGAATAATCTCATTTTTCAATTATCCAACCATTTCATTTTACCCAGTTAAATGTTAGTCAGATTAGTCAACATTTCTATGTTTCGATGCAACAACGAGATGTTATTTGTAACAAGTAGTTTTGTTGGTTGGTTAATTGGTCACCTTTTATTCATGAAATGGGTTGGATTGATATTAGTTTGGATACAGCAAAATAATTCTATTAGATCTAATGCTAATAAGTACCTTAGTGTCAGAATTGAGAAATTCTATGGCTCGAATCTTTAGTATTCTCTTATTTATTACCTGTGTCTACTATTTAGGCAGAGGAAGTTTAGATTTTTCAAAATATTTATCAAATTCCAAAGAAGACGTTGACGAGGGAGGAGATGTTGCTGGCGCAAACGTGAGACTCACCTTCAAAGAAGAATATCACCGAAAAATGCCGGGAGAGAGCAAGAGATGAGGGAGAGAAGGAATAGGAGAGAGCCAAAATAAAATATCAAATATTTTAAAATAAAATATCGTTTATCTTATTTATCTAAATAATTATTAATAAAATTTAGTTAATTTAAATGAAATCAGAAACAAAATTAAATCAACGAAAGTAAATAAATAAAGTTTTTGGTAAATTCAAATTCAAAATTATTGACGAATAATTTAAGAGATTAAAGATTTTATAATTAAAAATTTTAAAATTAGAATTAAGGAAAACAGAATCTCAATCTCCTTTATTCATATTCAAATTTGAAATTTAAATCAAATTCATTTAAGATTTTTTTTCCTCCTTAAAATCTCTCATTTAATCTCTTAATTTTAATTATGATTGGATTTAAAATTTAAAATTTAATTCACTTTGATTCACGTGGAAGTATCAATTTTAAAAAAAAAATAATGGGACAGAGCAAAGAACAAGTGAGAGAGAGGGAGCGGAGAGAGCGAGAGAGCACCGAAGCGAGATATGGAAATCGAAATCGCTCCCAAAGTGATGGAAGTGTTTTTAAATTGAAAGGAAAAATCCAAACTATAAGAAAGTACAAGATTCTGTGTAACCATAGAGAAATAAGAGAGATGGTGGAGAGAGAAGATGGGAAGAGAAGGAGGGGAGGGATGAGAGAGAGAACTTAAGGAGCCTAAAAAAAATGGATTTTAAAAAAGGTGATTAAAAGCTCCCGTCAATTCAAATTTCCTGTTGGCCACTCGAAGGAGGGAAGGGATGAGAGAGAGAACGTAGAGAGCCTAGAAAACATGGATTTTAAAAAATAATACTGGTCTTTTAAAGCTCCTATCAACTCAAATTTGGATTTTTTTCTAAAATAATGTTTTTTAAAAAACAAATGACACAAATAACGTAGGTTTGAAATATTTTCTAGGGCAGTAAAATCACAGTCGTTGGATGCAATTTCAGGTAAATCGTATTTAATGGCTACGATACTGCGAGTTATATATATTATATATATTATTTTGTCATTTGGTTCAATGGTAAGAATTGTGCAGGTCATTGTCAACTCAAATCCCTGCTCTAACATAACTACATTTTTCTATTCCAATTTCTCTTTTAACTGTTTTTTTATTTCATTTTCGCTATTAACTTCTTTTTATTTTCAATTTTTACTCTTCCAACGTATTTTTAACTTTTTTTTCTTCAATTTCTCTTTTAACCTTTTTTTTTAGTTTAATGTTCTCTTTTTACTTTTTTTTTAATTTCATTTTCTCTTTTTTAACTTCTTGTTATTTTCAATTGTTTGTTGCCATTACATACATGTGATTCTTTTTATATAAATTATTGTAATGTTTAGTATGATCTAAGATTTATTGAAAAAATATGTTCCAAACGAATGTATGATTTTACTTATAATAAAATAAATTATATTTTATAGATAAAATAAATAAAAACTATATAGAAAATAGAAAATAAATAAAATATTAATAAAATAAAATATTTTATTCGTAAAATAAATAAAAGACTACATAAATAAATATATAAATATTTTAAATGAAAATCGCGTTCATTGTACGCAACTTTCCATAAATAGAAATTGCGTACGCAATTTCCTTGCTGACTCATTCTTCGAGGTCCACCCCATCTATGTCATGTTGGCACCTAAATCGCATCCATTATATGCGATTTTTGACTTTGACTAGCACCTAACCTATTTTTGTCAATAGTTTGAATGTATAACTTAATTTTGTAATTTTTTATTTATACTACATTTATTTTGTTATTATTTTTAAATATACATTATTTTTGTAATTAGTTTTTTAAATTACATTATTCTTAAACTTTCTCCCTCAAATTTTCAGACTAATTTGTAAATATGGTAGAAGTGCACCATATAATATTTAGAAAGAAAAAAAAAACTTTATTTCATTGTTGGCCAGTTGAAATGGCAAGGGTACAAATCTTTCACATAATCCATAGAAAAAAAATTGTACAACAATGAATCTTACACCCACCATCTGTATTCTAATTTCACTTTATGTACAATTAGTTTTTAGTTGAATGTATTTTATTTAAATTAAGTTATCAAATCTACAATTACCTCAAACAAAAAAATTAAAGTTAGGTGTCAAACTCAATGTATCAACTTGTAATATAGTCCCTTTTTCTTTCTTTGTTAGGTCCTTCTTCTTTTTAACTTGGGATGTCTAATACTTTATAATTACCAACACTTATGCTATTAAGTGCACTTCTAGAGAGAAAAGCACTCATTGCTTTCAAACAAAACCTATCACATCCTTCTGTCGGACTTTCTTCTTGGGTTGGTGAAAATTGCTGTGAATCTAGGAAGGTCGCAAAGATTGATCTGCGAAAATCGTTGGACTTTATCAATTATCTATCTTATTTTCCCGATGACATGAAAAGCTTAGAGGCCTTGGACACCACCTTGCGGTAAAAGAAGTCATGTTTTGGTGGTGAGATCAATCCTTCTCTACTTGAGCTCAAAGATCTAAGCTATTTAGACTTGAGTATGACTATCTCGAAGGTGTTTCTATTCCATATTTCTTAAACTTGAGATGCCTCAACTCCCTTCTACATATTTTGGTGGAGAGGTTCCTCTCCATTTAGGAAAATTGTCCAATTTGAGGCGTATTTAGACCTTTCTGCATATAATCAATTTATATAGGAAGAGAGATCAAACTTCACGGTTGAAAACTTGCTATGGCTTTCTGGTCGTTCTTCTTTAGAGTACATTAATGTTCAAATGGTGGGGATTTGAGTCGTCTACCGGCAAATTGGATGCAAGCAATTAATATGCTTTCTTCCTTGTCAGAGCTACACTTGGGTGATTGCAATATTCCAAATTTTGATAGTTCAATTGGATTTCTAAATCTCACTGCACTTGGAGTCCTTGATCTATCAGACAATTCAATAAAATATCTCTTACCTTTGTGGCTATCTAATCTTACTGGCCTTGAAAAACTTGATCTCAACTTCAATGATTTTCATGGTACAATTCCTCGAGACTTTATGAAATTGAAAAATCCACAGTATCTCGATCTAAGTGGGAACCACTTAAGGTGTATCGGAGATCACATGCCGCCAAGTTTGCCCAATCTTGACAAGAACAATTTTTGAAACTTGCTTACAACAATTTTGGCTGTAGAAGTGATGAGCTTGCAGGAAGCTCTTCGAATTGTTCCTACTGGACTTGCGTCGTGACGAATTGGTGGGAGAGATCCCAAATTCACCAAGGACGCCTGAGAATCTAAGATACCTATATCTTTCAAATAACAAGTTGGTGGGAGAGATCCCAAATTCACCAAGAATCTAAGATACTTATATCTTTCAAATAACAAGTTATGGGGTTCGCTCCCAAATTTGATAGGTAATTTGTCTTTATTGAAATATCTTGACGTCTCAAGTAACCTCTTGAATGGAACCATATCCCCAAGTTTTAGGCAACTTTCAAAATTAGTTGAGTTTGCTTACAACAATACATGGAATGCAAACCATCATGGGATGATCTAGCCGTCGACAAGGGCTAATGTAAATAGGAAAGGGCTTAGAGGGAATTGGTTCTAACCATAGTGGCCACCTACCTAAGATAATGAGTTATCTTGTCAACCAAATGTAGCAGGGTCAGACGGAAAACGCAATCATAACCGAAGTTCATTTGGTGAATTTGACGAAGTTGGAAATACTTGAAATTACAACAGACAAAAATAAAGATTCGGTCTTCAACGTGGCATATGATTGGATTCCTCCTTTCAGGCTCAGGACTCTTCATTTGAAAAATTGTCTCGTTGGTTCTCAGTTTCCAGTTTGGCTTCAAGTTCAAACTCAACTAACCGGTGATGTCATTATCTCTAATGCCGGAATTTGTGGTTCTATACCAAACAATTGGATCTATAACATGTCATCTCAAATCACTAGCTTGGATCTATCAAACAACTTACTCGAAGGAAAACTATCTAACCTATTGGCATCTAAAGATCCAAATCCAGTTGATCCAAGTCATGATAATGATCTCCATGAGGATTCAATCTCGCAATGGCATCCTACTCTAACTTTACTATATCTCCATCACAATTTATTATGAGGTCCTATACCTTCAAACATCGGTGATTTGATGCCCAATTTGAGCATGCTATATTTGTCAAAGAATAATCTTTAATGGTACGATTCCATCATCTATAAGAAGTTTTACAAAATCCAAATTTGTTGTGTTGCAATGATTATAAGAGATGATAGAGATGCTGAGTTGCTCACCTTGTTGACGAGAAGCAGAGGCGGTGGCCATTCGAGAAAGCTTAGGCATGGCTATTGAAGCAAGCGATTAGGCCATTGAAACCGACTCCAAATGCATCCACTCCCTTTTGCTGCAAACAAATAGGATTTTTCAACAATAGGGTCAACAATTACATCAGACATTCTTCAAATGCCGAAATTTCTAAGGCATGTCGCTTTCACCTGGTGCTGTAGAATTGCAATGGCTGGAGGAAGCTCCGTTTGCAAATTGCAATGGCTGCAGACAGATGCAGGGCTTCTGTCCCTCGCATCTGTTCATGGCTACTCTGTTTTGGGGATTTTCTCCTTTCTGTTTTGTTTCTTTGCGTTTCACTTTTCAACTATACAACTATAACTATAATGTAAATATAGAAAAAAGAAATCAATACAACAATCCGCATTTGTTAAATAAATACACGGCATATATCTTCAACCAAAAGATTATGAATTCGATCTCTCACCCCCACACGTTGTACCCAAAAAAAAACATATACCAATATAGAAAAAAGAAATCAATTTGTTAAATAAATACACGGCATATATCTTCAACCAAAAGGTTATGAATTCGATCTCTCACCCCCACACGTTGTACCCAACAAAAAAAACATATACCTCAATCAACTGTCCGAACAGTCACTCAAACCTTGTGCCAAATTAATTATCAATCAGTAGTTCTATTTTATCCGACTATCCATTTTGTGAATTATTTATCGATCACATTATACCAAATCAATTATCGTTGGCCTAATAACCTCGTTGCATCATCATTTAATCAAAAATAGTATTGTCCACAAAAGCTGTATAGAATCACAATTAAAATTTTTAAATTTAAAGATAAAATGGACATAACTATCAAAATTAGACTACATTTGTGATTCAAAAAAGAGAGAAAATTGGAATTCGAACTTGGTAATTTGCAAAATACAAGATGCTACGGAGAGGAGGTTTGATTTGAGAAGGAAAATGAGTTCACATACAATACAGAGACCCAACACATGTATAAGTTCACAAAACTACGACTGCAGATAAATAAGCAATCGTGTAAAAAAGAAAATATAACAAGGTTTTAGGCAACAGTGAGTCTGTCTAGATTCTAGTTCTGTTTTGGCTGTCGTCTTGGGTCGTTAGGCTTGGCCGGGACTACCTTAGCGGGGGCGGACCGCTCCGCCTGGGAGAAACGTATAAGGATCTGCATGAGGACTGTAACAATGGCGAGGCCCGATGCTGAGAATGTAAGACCTTTCCATGAGGATAAAAAGGAAGAGCCTTGAAGAAACTTGAGGGACCCCAAGATAAGCAGACATATCCATGAAATAGTCACCTGTGAGAGAGACAGAGAAGTTGGAAGTTCTTTTAGAAAAATAAAAAAATAAAATTTGTCACTCTCAGTTATTGAACATTGAATTTCATCAAATGGAGAACTTCCATTTATACTTGAATAGATGGTAAAACTAAATTATAAGATCTCCCGATAAATCACACAAAACTTAACCAATTAAGCAGTAAAATAAAGTCCTACATGGTAAAAATGCTCAAGCCTAAACACTAAGAGAAAAACTTGAATCTAGTCACAAGATCAATCAGGTAAAAGGGTACACCTAAATACAACAATAAGCTGTGCCTAAACTCAGCTAAATAGTAGCACATTTGTAAAAATAATTTCGTCGTCGTAGTGTCTAAAATCAGCGATCAATTTTTTTTTTTAATTGGGAGTCGGAGCTTTACTCCCCTATACCTGGGAGCACCCGCGCCCGTCCCTGAGCTCCCCTATACCTGGGAGCACCCGCACCCGTCCCTAAAGCTCAGACTCGGGAGACATCAAGGGTTTTTTATATTGAGCTCATTGAAAGGTTCGAACTTAAGACCTCTAAGCCGGTATGACCAAGAGACTCCAAGTCCTTGCCAACTAGGTTGTCCCTTGGGGTCTAAATTCAGCAATAAAATTCCTAAACCCAGCTAAAAAGTATCCAACACGACTAGAATAATCAGATCCCATAGAAATTAATTCGTCCGGCCACAAAAGGGTTCATAGTTAACCGCAAATCCTTAAAAAAATATAATCATAGCCAATCAGGGCTACAAATTTCATTACTTATTCAAATAAGGGTTCAAGTGAGGGTTCAAGTTGATAAAATTGGAAGTCTTAAAGTTAAAATTAACTCAAGAAGAAAATAAAATATTCTCTTTTCGTTTGGGAAGAAAAACAAAGAGCTTACCACGAGAGACTTGATGGGCCGACCAAGATCCTGTAATTCTTCAGCGTTAAAGGTATCGTTTTCTACATGTTTATCCATCAGTGCATCCTGGAACGCAAAAACCAAGAGTGTAAGAGCAAGGTACCCCTTACCATTCTCTGATAATCAAAGATGAAAGAGTTGCCCTCGGGCATTACAAAATAGAAAATACCCGCAGTCTATTCGAGGGGACTGAGGAGCTCTCCTACCTTGACCTTTAACCTTACACAAAATGAGATATACCTTACCACCCTACTTCTCTGACAATATATCCCCTTCCCAGACATACAAAACGTACTACACGATCATAACTAACGGTTGGTTGGGGAATTTCCATTTTACCCTCCTAACAGTGGGGGGCCACACAGTAAGCCAATTTTTTTCACATCATTTTTATTTCTTTGATTTCTTTGATGTGTTTTTCACTTTGAAATCTTGGCCAAATTTCAAAAATAAAAATAATTTATAAAACCTATCTTTTTTTTAAGTTTTCAAATTTTGGCTTAGGTTTTGGAAACGTTTTTATAATTTAGATTATTAAAAACAAAAAGAAAAATAATAAATATAGAGTTGGGAGTATTGTTTATAAATTTAATATTTTAAAACAGAAAATCAAAAACAAAATACTTTTACCTTTGCCACAAACATATCTCTACACCACTGAGCAAGGGCTTCGTCTGTCTCAGGCAAATCCTTCATTGGATGTCGCTTAAGGTGCACATTTACCTACAATACCAGATAGATTAGATATCTTCTATGATAGGACCAAGCAGAGGCTACACTGAAATAGGTCCGTCAATACTGAGTGTAAAGCAAAGGGAGAGTCACAGAGTCACTTAATATACATTCTCTATGAAATTATGGAGCTTCATCCTTTCATCCTGTCATCTTTTGGATGGCACAAATCACTTGCCTATGAAGCTAACAGCGCAAAAACTTTCCTTTTCACAGGCCACCCTTTCTCAAAGGAGAAAAAGCTCCCATGGCTGCCTTCGTTCGAGCGGGCTTTCAGTCTATTTGGATGGAAAAGAATCGTCGAATTTCCCAAGAAAAAGAGCATTCCTCTGATCGTGTTTTTGAATCCATTGTTTACAGATTTGGTATCTAATGATGTTTTCTTTGTAACTACCTCACTTAGGGATTTCTCTCTTTTACTCTCTCTTTTATATCCCTACTTTCATATATATCAATGAAAGCAGGTTTCTGATCCAATATATATAAATATATATATATATATATATATATATATATATATCAATGAAATTGTTTCTCAATACTGAGTTTAAAGATTAAAAAAAAAGGTTTGTATGTTTAACTACTGAACAACTCATCCCAAAAGCCACTTCTAAACCATCCCTACTTCCCATCTCCAAGATGGAGGGAGAGAGACGCACACAAAAAGGGAAAAAACACCTTTTTGGTTTTATCAGAGACATGGTAGACTGTATCGCCTAAAATATTGCACCAAAATAATCAAGAGGACAAACATAAAAGCTACTATCTATGGACCTTGTTCTTTTTACAATAAACTAATTCCGCTGAACTAATGAAATTACAAGAGGGAAGGAAACCAAGCTCCAATGCTATAGAGATTAAAAGAATAAAAATTAAAACTAACTTGGAAATACTCTATTACTTCTTTCAAGCCGTAACCTATAATATATCAAGGGGAAATCTTGAATCTTGATTTCCCTTTTTGGCACTATTTTAATATTTCACTTCAATTTTAACTATTTAATAAATATTTTAATTTTACAATATACTTGTAAATTTTCATATTTTATCTTTCATTATATAATTCTATTTTTTTTTGTATCCGTGATTGTCGAAACAATCACTTTAGTTTCCAAGAAAATTCGTAGGATTCTAAATCTTAAGTAGGTGGCAATCATAGTTTGAACTCATTCTTTCACCAGCCCCAATGAGCACTAAGCTAACTCAAGGTAATTTTTCATATTCTCTCTTTCATTGCATAGTTTCAAACTTTTTATATCCGTGAGTGTCGGAATAATCACTTGACCCTATTACATTTAGTTGCTAAGAAAATTCATAGGATTCTAAATCTCAAGTAGGTGGCCATCATGACTTAAACTCATTCTTCCACGGGACCCAAAGACCAATAGGCCAACTAGGCTAACTCAGGGGTATAATTTTTTTTTATATAAATGTAATTTCCTTTTCTTATAGAAAAACCAATTTCAATCAACAATTATGAACTTTATTTCACAATTAAACATTTGTACAATTTCAAAACCATGTTTACTCGTGTTCTATACTCAATTAAATAATTTTAAAATTTTGCCATCAATTATTTTCAAATTTTACAAACATGTGCAATGCCTGTGACTCATGAGTTGAGTACCAACTAGTAAATGACGAAAGAAACTGCAACCAAAGGATTTTTTTCTCTCTAATGAGAGGATGACCACCATGAACCAAAATGAGAAGGATTCACGTTGATGGAACTCAGGGAAGCATAGTGTGCCAATTGATCACGGAAGGTTATTCACATTGTTATGAAGACATCAATAAGGTTCCCATTTTAAGATGCCTTGCGTTACATTTTGCTTTTATTTGATTGTTTAAGGAATAAGGATTCAAAATCAATTACCCACACCAATCTGGCTTCTTGAATCCAATATTCACTTCTAAAGTAAGGTATAAAATTAGTCCCAATTGACCAGACCAAACTCAAAGCAACTAAGAATTCTGCTCCAACTCTCTAACCAATATAATTAGCCATTAAAAAATGAAAAGCAACTTTTAACAAAGTTAACTTACCACAGAAGGCTGCCCCTTGAAGAGTCTTAGCATTGTAGGGGGAGGTGAGCTCTTGGGAATAGCTACTGTTACATCATAAATTGCTGGAACAAATGACCGCATATGACCTACAGCTGACACAAAACCCTGAAAGCAATAGAGTAACAAGTTATGCCAATTCATGGGCTGTAAATATAGCTCAGCACATGTCAGGTGAATAAACAAAAATATGATAAAAACATTTTCTTCTGTTGCAGCACAAAGCTTTGTCCCTCCTTTAAAAGACAAGTAGACATAAGTGATATAATGTATGAACGAGAGAAAATCAAAGTTGTGCAGAAACACAATCAACATTAACAAACAGAAAGCTCAGTATCCCCTGAGATGCTGTGGTTAATGACACATTCAGTAGTTTATGAGACTATCCCAACCCTTGATGTTTCCTCATGTCGATTTCAAAATACAGTCACCACAACCAATAATTAGACAAGGCATAATGAAAAATTATTTGAAACTCCAACCCACAAATGACAAAATAAATAGAATTCTATATAAATGAGTACAGGTAAAATATTCAACTTCAAATTATTTAATAGTTAGACGATCTTGAATTGCAGAAGGTAAGTCTTTGTAGTACTTAACGATAGAACTTAAACAAGGTCAAGTAAACATAATTGTCAAATTGTCTCGGTGATAAATGTCTCTCAAGATTTTTCTGTTTTGTGGAGTAATGTATGGCTTACTTCTAGATGGTGCTATAGTTTCAGCAAATTCTTTTGTAATTACTCCCTTTGCTCTATCCTTCGAAATTGGAAGGCATTCATGTCTTAGCTTCCTTCGGGAGGGGATCTCGCTACCCGTCACCCTTAGGCTGTTTTTTTTAGTGTGCGATTCTCTTCTGTTTCTTATCAAAAAAATAAATAAATATCTCTCAAGTATTGAGAGAACTGGCAACCACCGAATATATCTCAAAAGATAACAAATCTCCATTTATCCTGACTACATTAGGATATTAAGAGTAGTGAGATATTACGAACTAAGAAATCTCTTAGCATGATTAGCAAAAGTAAAAAATGTAAGCCGTTCTCCCAAGACGACCTGCACGCCAAAATCTTTTGAAACAATGCTAACATTAGGCAATTCACATAGTACATAAGAGAGAATTTTCATAATTTGGGTAGGAATTTCAACTTCAAAATATCAACCATAGTTATGATGCAAGGAAGTTTACTTTCTTGAAAATTTGGTGGGAAGGCACAAAGCACTACAGTTTTATTTGTTGTTAAATGCTCTCCTATATAGCAACTATTCTCTTCTATCTGATTGGAGAAGTTTTTTGTAACTTCCTAGAATTGGGGTTTACCACTACTTTCATAACTTCGTATCATTGAAATTGTTCTTGATTCATATCAAAAGGGGAAAAAAAGAGAAGAAACACGATATACAAAGGGGGAGAGGAGATCCCCCGGCTGATACTGAGAAAGCTTCCCATTCAAGGTGATTGAGAAAAATGGAATTAAGACGCTAATGAGCCCAAATCTCCACAATCCATAAAAGCCATAGACATGTTCATTTGCAGTAAAACGCATACTTCTTCAAGATCATGATGCCAATTCCTAGCATGCTTGATGCACCATGTTTTCTAACTTTATTTCTTTTTTTTTTTTTTTGTGTTTGGATAGGAAACAATTTGATTGGTGATATGAAATTATACAAAAGGGGGACGAAGATCCCATCCAAAGATATTACCAAAATAAAAAAATCTCCAATTGGATATAAGAGAATTCAAAGAGGGAAAGACATTTTTACAGTGCACTTTCTTTTTCATTTTTTTTAGTACAAGTAGGGTGAGGGGATTCAAACTTAGACCTCTTCGTTAGAGACAGGTATCATTACCCCTGAGCTAAGCACATGTTGGAACAACCATATACATATCATTGTTTATGGCTCGAGATACAGACTCTAATACTCAATAGAGCATAGAAACAGGGGAAATAAATCTAGATCAATATAAAATCTTACTCAATGAAAAAAATGCCAAAAAAGACATGTCTCTAATTTCCTCTAATAGAACTGAACCGTTTTCATAAGAAGCTGAAATCAAAGCTTTCCATTAATAAAAAAACTTCCTTCTTAAAAAATGTCTAATTTAAACAGTAGACTAATAAGAACTAACAATGGGGACAAATATGACCAGGACATGCAGATACATCACATGAACTAATGTAGACACATCTATTAAATCGTATATTTTCTAAATATATTTGCATTCCTTTAAATATTTTGATGATTTGCATTTCGTATATTTTTTTTTGGATTGGAGTCCTTTTCTGTAAGGGGTTCTCCTCTTTCGGGCTGTTTTTTTGGATGCCCTTTTGTAGGCTTTTTGTAGCTCTTGTATCTTTTTCATTATTCTCAATGAAAGTATTGTTTCTCATAAAAAAAAAACATTTTGATGATTTGCATGCCTAGAAATTTGCACTTCAAAGTATGACAGAATTTTGCATTTAAAATTCAGGCGATGAGATGCTGAAAATGTAAATTACCTTAAGAATAGCATCGGCATACTTTACACATGAACTGGTTTTCTTTTTCTTTAAAGGGCCACTTATAGTCATGATGTCAAAACTCACGTCTTATAACAAAGTTACCCAGGAAATTCAAAGCCAAATAGACAGATTTTTAAATGTTCTAATGTCTGATAAGAAAATAAGCTATACACTGAAGTAGGTTGATGCATTAATACACGTAGAAAAAAAGAGCCCAATTTTTCTCATTCAAATTCAATTCTGTTTATTGTTTTTATTATGTTCACATCACCCCCAAAGACTTGGTAAAATTGCAGCTGGCAACTGACAACTGTATTTCTTTTGCGGAGGTCAAGGAGTTCAAAGAAGGGATATAAACAAACAAACAAACAAAAAAAGTATCTAAACATGGTAAGAGTGACAAGTCCATGAAAAGTTGTTAAAATAAACTCTGACCTTTGTGCGTGGAATCAAAACATTTCTAGGAGAAGGTAATCCATTTGCGGCTGCATACTCTCTAGCTGCTAAAAGTTTCGTCTCTGTAAATCGAGTCCCTTCTACAAAAAGTGCCAACCAAAAAGGCAAAGGGAAGTCCTTCAACCGTAAAAGACCTGACTGTAGAAACAATAACATGAGACTCAAATGAAATCAAAATGTGAAGCACAGATATAAGCTTGTAAAATTCTAGTGCATAGTGAAAAATCCAATATAAAGTACAGCATAAATGCCTTACCTTTAAAGTGATTTCATCCTTGGCCCAGCTTCTTTCGAGAAAAAGATACTCAGAAAACCACATTGACCAGCCTAAAACCTGCCAAAATAGAACTCTAAAGGATAGGTTCTCCCTTCTGGTAACTTAGAAAACTTTAGTCAGCTTATAAAGTTAAGTGCAAAGGAGAAATTTAGCATCAATAACAAGTCTGCAACTGAACAAAAAAAAAACACTTCAAAATTTGTTTAAAATAAAAGTAATAACAATCTCATGAATGCTCAAAAAACTTAAGAAAAATTAACATACTGGCAGAAACTTTGATGACTTCTTCATCACAGCTAACGTGCTGCCAAGACATCCACATCTCTATCACACAAAGTTCAAGATTATTAATCAGGAAAAAGTATAAATCAAACAAGAAAATGGCATTAAACACAGGGATTTTCAGCTTTGATAGGAACGTAACATATAATATATCTAGATGTCAACAAATGTATGAAGATGCGCCCATATATTTGAATGTATTACAAATTGAAGTAAAACTATCCTTGATTAAGAAAGCAAAGTAAATAGGTACCTGACCCACAATCCATCCAACAAGCCAATCAATATCACTTCTGTGATTAGAGACAACAAGTGCATGCTCGTTACCTGGAAATAAATTATCAGTTGAGCCATTTTGCAGATATTCCAAAATAAATATAAATTTACGGTCGAAAATGCAAAATTGCAGCCATGATGCAAAAAATGCAAAATTGCACTCTTACCCATTAATTTAAGGGTTTCAGGATCTGTGTACAATTTGATCTGCATTCGGAATGGTCAAAAAATTGAGGTTTCATTAGTCCGATCCAAGAACCAAGAAACCAGGTAATAGATCATTTTATATGGATATTTTACAAGAAAAAATTGATCATTTTGTAGCTCTATTAATTAAAAAAAAACATTAGAATACAAATAAAATCATCTTTTTCAATGGGGGAGGATTGTCAGAGGGGGTAACAATTCAATAAGGATGGAAAACTCTTAATTTTCATATTTCTAAATTATGTTTCTCCTTCAAGGCATCAAAATACAGTAGAGCATAATAAAAAGTAGGATGACATAAGTCATTAAAATTCAGGAGGGAGAAAATACAATTACAGGAAAAACGATAGTTATAGCTTTAACTACTAAATGACATAATATGGGGATCTCTACGATGCACCTTAACACCTGCCCACCAATCAACTAGCCAAATAAGCTCCAACCATAACAGCTCTGCCACAAATCTATTAATCCTTCTGTACCCATTCTTTGTTAACGGCCTTACAAGGACAAAGCATACTGCCTGAAACAAGGGAGCAGAGATTTGAGAGTCCGATCACATCATTAGGTGTGCACATAATAAGAACGGCCAGCAAAGGTGTCAAAGAAGACAAGGTGAGAGTGCAAAAACAGATACTAGCATAGCACAGTATAATCGCGATGCTTGCCTAGAAAATAAACTATGTTTGTTTGTTTGTTATTAAACTCATCAGTCGACTCGATGGTTACAACCGACGCATGGTATTACTCTCAGCACACTTTGTTGAAAACCAAAGCAACGATTGGATTAATAAAAATATTATATAATCATGTTTTAAATCTACGCTAAATTTCCAGGCAATAAATCCAAATAAGAGAGCAATAACATGCATGAACACAAGCGAAACACGCCACTAAATTGGCTGAAGCAACTAAACCTAACTGTCAAAATCTCCGCAACTCACCTCAAGCACGCACACACACACCAAAACGAAAAAAAGAACAAAACCCATGTACGAGAGAAACAAATTGAAGCTTGAAGAACGCCGGCAAGCTTAAAAAATCCAAATCGAGCAACAAAGAAAGAAGAACCGGCACGGATCGAGGCAGAAGTAGAGTCCAGAATACCTGAATGACATTAACGACGAGGCCAGAGAAGAAGAAGAGGACGCCCAATGGCAAGATCACCAGGGCCGCTGGAATCGCCATAGCCGGAAGGAAGCAGCCAAGCCCCACCACCAGACCAGTTCAGAAGCTCACAAAAACGAGAGAAAAAGGCAGAGTGGTTGGAAAAGATGAAGAAATCTGTAGCTAATTTATGATGAAATGGGGAACGATTAGTGGGAACCAATTGGGGATTGAAGAAATCTTGGTATGGGAAAGAGTTGAAAGTGATGAAGAGAGGGAAGAAGAAGAGAATGAAAGAGGAATCAGGCATCGTCCCATCCCATCGCATTTATCACAGCGACGATGGGAATATCGTCGACAGATAGCCTTTCTTTTGACAGATAGCCAATTAAAATGTGTTTGTTTCTTTAATTTACTTTTTTTATTAGTATGGTTGAATTTTATTAACTTTCCTTTTCTAATTTATTTTTATCTATGTAATTTAAAATTTTTTGATACGTTCGTCGTGATCAAATTCACGATCTACTGATTTAAGATATATATTAATTATTGTTGAGTATTCTCGTTCATTTGAGATATATTTTTTAGTATGCTCGCTCCAGCTTTGAAATATTTATTTTAGTGCTTATGCTTTCCATTTTTTATTTTAATTTTTATTTGGTAGATAATAAAAAGTCAGGTTGAAATGATGGTACGAATTCAAATGATTTTAGAAACGTATGATAATTGAAGTTTTTTTTTTAAGACAACAAAACGATGGATGAGGGTTTAAATATTCTAATTTACATAGTCCTTTTAGATACATCTTTTCTCCGGAGCACGTAGATTTTCCTTTAAAAATAATGAAATAAGAGATCTGAACCTTTTTTGGGACGAATACCATAACTCTATTTTGGTTCCTCTATTTTTAAAAATGGATCAATTTAGTTCTCATTTACAAAATTTTAACATAACGTTTATATATAATATATATGTATAGCTACATTTCAATAATTTAGTAAATAAAACGTCTTGCTAAAAAATTGAAGGAAAGATATGAGATAGAGATGAAAATAAATATACCAAAATGATCACTTTTTTAAAGTACAATGATCAAAATGTATATTTCGAAATAACATATACTCAGATAAACAAAAGTTGAAATTACATAGACCGTCAAAATAGCATTTAAATATTTTTTAATATCACTTGAAGTTTTTATAGTAAAATTTGTATTTATATAAAAATAAAAGGCTTTTGGATAACCATTTTTATTTGTCAAAAATCGTGTAAGAATTGAAAATATTTTCAAAAGTAGGTTACCAAACAAATTTCATGCTTTTTTTCTTGGTAAAAATTATTTAACTTGCAGAATAAATGCATCTCACAGCTAGACAAGTCTAGAAAATTGGAGAGAGTTGGGTAAAAAGTGGTTGCGTTACTTAATGAATTTTCATTTTATTTTTCTCTTTTAAAAAATGCTTGAAATTTTTTCTCATATTTTATATTTATATTTAAACAAAAGGTTTTGGCTGAACATTTTTAATAATTACAAATATTACAATTTGAAAACATTTGCAAATAGTGGGTTTCCAATCAAATAAATGTTTTTTTTAAGATGATGTGTATCTGAAAAAAATAAACAAAAACAAAAAGCTTTTGATAACTATTTTTAATCTTTTTCAAATGAACTAAAATTTGCAAATCTTTTCAAAATGTGGCTTCCAAACAAATAACTGTTTTTTTTTTATTTTTTTTGTATGTTTTGAGGAATGCTTTAAGTTTTTAGTAAACTTTTTATATTTATAAAAAAATGAAAGCCTTTTGGATAACTATTTTCAATTATACAAAAAAATTACTAAATTTTGAAAATATTTTTCAATGGGTGGATTACCAAACAAATAAATGTTGTTAACCATATTTCGTCTATTAAAGCTACAAAAGTTGTAACAAAATGACACTTTCAGTTGTTTTTTTAATAATAATTTAAAAAATAAACAAAATTTATAGTTCGGAATTAGAGATGGTAGATGAACGTTGTTCTTCAAAATTTTAATCTTCTTCTCATTTATCCTCAGAAAAAAAAAACAATAATCATCTCTCTCTCATTCTCTAGGTTTGAAGAATCTAAGTTTAGTGTTTTCAAGTATCTATTAAGTTTGTTTTTAATTAACTAGTTCTAAAATAAAGACATATATTGTTAAGTATGTAGAAAGTTATTTGTTAAAAAAAAAGATATAGAAGGTTCTGAATTTTATACAATAGATAACTAATTAATTATTTGTTATTTGTTATTTATTTTATGTAATTAATTTTATAATAATATATGAAAAATAGATTATTTCGTATATGTTATCATTCCCAGCCAGTTCCTTTTATCCTTTTAAATTCATAATTTGCATACACTGCTACTAAAGTTGGTACATGTAATCAGGGGTGTACATCGAAATCGACCAAATCGGTCCGACCGATCGAAACCGACATCGGTCGATCGGTTTCAATGACTAGTCAATCGACCAGTGATCGGCTTGACATTTTTCATAATTTCGATCGGTCGGCCAGTAGAAAACCCCTATAATCGATCGAACTTATCGAAATATTTCTCTTTAAAAAAATTACTATTATTATTATTATATATTTATATATATATAAAATGATTCGTTTTTTTAGAGTTTACACACCTGACGGACCGCCTCCCCTCTCATTTCCTTTTTTCACTCTCTCTTTCTCATCTACTATTCTTTCTCCCTCTCATGATCAGTTTCCCTCACGTTGTGGCCATCATCGCCCAAACCTTCGCACGTCAACCCTCACCTACGTGCTCCGTCTCTCTCACTCACCTCGTCGCCTCGCGCCACCGCACCCAGCCCCCCATCGTCTCGTTTCAGCCGCTACCAAGTCACAGATCTGTCGCTCGAAAAACACGAAAGGTAAAAAAAAAGGAGGGAGAGATCGGTTTGTCGACAACCGACCGACCAACCCGACAATAAACTGGTCAGAGTGAGCTTCATCTAGTCGTCCGTAGGAGTCTTGGCCAGAAAACCGACCCGACCGAACTGATGTATTGCTATTCAAAGTGGATTTGAGGAGTTACCATCTCATAAAGTATGTCACAAACAATTGAATCATTATCATTGAAATTGTCTAGCTTAACCACTCATAAGTACAGATACGAAATTGTCGAGCTTACGGACACGTAACACAGATATGACATGACACACATGATAATAACACATTTACTAAAATATACAAAAAAAAAATATTTAAGTACAAATAATTTTTATACCATAAGAAAATTTAAAGTGAACAAATTTATGAAAAACTGAATCAAATTTATGTATTTTATGCTCAAAGTTTATTATTTTGTCTTTATTGCTATTTATGTATTTTTATTGTACTTAACAAGTGTTAGACCTGCCAAAACGAGCATAGTTCGGTGGTAATTAGCATATATCTGTAACCAAGAGGTTGTAAGTTTGATCCCCACCGCCACATGTTGTACTATAAAAAATAATAATTTAGTATATTGCGATATGTGATTTGATAAAAAAAAATCAATTTTACCGATTTCGAATGAGAAACTGTCATCCCATTCCGCGGTCCATGGTAGATTCAGTAATAAATATAAATTTTTAGGTGTACCTCGTGTAAAAAACTTATATATTTTGTATGATTAATTATTCATTTTTATTCAAGAAAGTAGTGAAATTATGTTCAAATAAGAAACTCATTCGTAAGGAAGTAAATGTTGATAATAGGTTCATAACTTATTTGATAATTTTAACATAAAATGAGTACTTACCACAAAGATAAAAAAATAGTACAAGTTGGATAACCATAACTTGAAAACGTACATCTACCATATTAAAAAATGGCTTAGAGCCCAATTTTTTCACGCACCCAAAGTAAAGTGAAAAATACTTACTCTTTAACGATAAGGACCAAATCTCGTCCTCAACGTCATTTAGTCCTATTTTAGTTCTTATTCAATCGAAGTTGTATAATAGCTGCTACCATCTATCACGTGCACTACAGTTACACACAATCCCTCTATACAATCGATTCCACCATATTTCAAGATTGGATTTATAAATTATAACTAAAAAGGTTATATATTTTCAATTATATCACTTTCTATTTCTATATCTATACCTAGTACCAATTATTATAAGTTTCCATTTTAATCAATTAAGTTACGTTCTTAAACTAGTTTTATGATTTACTAATTTGACCTTAATCAATTAAGTTATATTCAAATGGGCATTCTTAAAATAGTTTTATGATTTAGTAATTTGACATTTAAATTGTACCTATATATTATAAATATTAATGTTATAATATAACTTTTTTAGTACACGTGAATACGAAGATTCGAACCCCTTAAATCTTTGTTGAAAATATATATCCCGAGATATTCTCATATTCAACTATTAATTGTTATGGTGCAAGTATAACTTCCAAATGGTACGATCTAGTGACAGTTTTTAAAGGAAAAACAAACAATAAGCATCAACATTAAAAATCCCAATTTTCCAAATAGGTAAAAAAAAACGAATAACATAAAGCAAGTCTTCCATTTAAAATTAAATTGAGTGTAGTGGCATATTCAACTTGGTGAGAATGACGTGGATATTGCTAGGGTGAAAGAAACCGAACTGATGCGAAAATCGACTTGAGCCGAATCGGTCGAGTCGGTTCGGTTAAATATTGCGTATGAACCTGATCCGCACCCTCGAACTGTACGTTTTGTCGGTACGGTTCGGTTCGGTTGTTTTTTAACCAAATAAGTTTCCTTTTAAAATAGTGTTTTAGAATCAGCCGTCTTCCCTCTTCGATCGGTTCACGCCCACGACCCCCCCGCTCTCTCTCTCTCTATGCCATCTCCGGCGGCGGCGACGCTCTCTGTGAGCGACCCAACGGCGGCGACGACGAGTTATTTGTAAGTTGCTTGCTTTGATCTCTTTATTATTTTATTATTTTATACTTTGTGTTTCCAACGGCGGCGACCCAACAGCGGGGCGGCGGGTGTTTTTGAGGGTGGAAGGTCGTGGAGGCGGTCGCTGGGGCGGCAGCCTTTGAGGTTCTGAGCCAGGAGGGGATGAAGAAAATGTGGAGAGATGAAGGAGAAGGGCATTGATGAGTTGGGTCGTTGAAAGTAGTGACCGTTTGATCATAATAATGGGGTTGAGATTTGGTTTTTGATAATGCCCTTTAGCTGTTCGATGAAATTCCTTAAAGAGGGTGCTCTTCTTTTTAGCTTCAAGAAGTGTTTCTGAAAGAGAGGATGGGTATTTTATTTTAATGTTTTCTTTCTCTCTTCGCTCTCCCTTACCGTTTCAGTCATAGTGTTACGTGTAGTCCCTTTTATCTTACTCAGTACCTTTCAAGATGCCTCAGCCTCAGCCATAGATTTAGATGCCTCATCTCTCTCCTCCAGAAACTCACTGCCCTTCAATATTTTACAAGAAAATCAGAATTATAAAACAGAAGAAGACTTCAAATTTATTGAAGTGGACCTTCTCGATTTGTAGTTATAACAAGTTTTTGTTCAAGGAAACAAAATATACTTTATATGGAGTTAGGGACCCTAAAACATAGGGAAGTGAATTCCGGTGTTCTATTTTTAATAATTCTCTCCACAAATTTAGCTTTTTTCATTTGTATCTGAAGCTAAGGTTAAGTTTCTTCTTGTTTGACGGACAAAGGGTGTGATAGCAGGAGCAAAAGCAGCTGCGTGGCTGGAGATTTGGTAAGATTCCAATTTCTAACACTTCATCGCTTTTGCTTGGGGTACTGATGATTCTGTTCTTAGTTTGAGTTTAATGATTCCAATGTTGGTGTGCATTTTTTTGAGTTTAATGATTCTGTTCTTAGTTTATGAGTTATTTTTAGTTAGTTTTTTTAATTTTGCTGTTTGTTTCTATCCGGAAGGTCTAATTTTTTTAATCATACTACACAGTAGGGGTGAATAAACCCGGTTTGGTTCGGTTTCCAGATAAAAGGAGAAAACCGAAATTGGTTCGGTTAAGCATGTACGAAAACCAAACCGGTTCGGTTTATGGTCCCTTTTTTCCTTTTAACCAGCCACTGCCTCATTTCTGGGTAAGCCATTAGGCAGCTGGAGAAGTAAATTTGACTTGCTGTTGGTTGTTTCCAGAAGAAGTGCTGCCATCATTCTTAGATTTGCCATTTGAATCATAGCGATGATAGAAAATTCTGGCAGTGTGCCCTGTTTTTCCACAAACTTGGCACACTGGCCTTGAATTGGAATAGGTATGAAATCTACCTTTCCATCTTCCACGTGCTCTTTTGGGACTATTTTGATTTCCTCCTTTATCTTGAGGGTTAAATGTGACAGTGTTGATGATTTTGATTTCCTCCTTTTTTGTCATTTCAACTTAGTATTTTGCCGTGATTATGGGTCTCTGGCGGCAGGTTTTTTTGAGGGTGGGGAGGCCTGTGTTAAGAATTAGTGCTAACATGTATTAGTTTCTTTGTTAGTGGTTCCACAATTTGGAGTTATGCTCGGTAATTAATTTCATAGTGGTGAGTGGATGTAAACTTGAGAGAAAGTTTGGGCATAATGGTTCATGACATGATGATGTTGATTGGAGAGAAATTCTAGGTTAGTGGCTTAGTGGAGTTATGAAGTTGGTTTAGAGAGATTTTGAATGGTAATGACTTAAGTAGTGGGTTAGTGGCCTAAGTAGTGGATTAGTGGTCGGTTTATTATTTCCCTATAAATTATTGTAACATCAATTGAATGAATAGAAGTTCTTCCTTCGTACGATTTCTCTTTTGCTTCCGCTTTGTTGTTCGTCTTCTTTTTTCGTTACAGCCTGGGTCTCTTCCAACGGATCATCGATGATCTGGGACTCTTGCAACAGATCAATGTATCTTAGGTTCAACAACATTTCCGTCACGTTTTCATTTCCTCAAATCAGTAATTGACTATCAATTTTTCGAGAAATTGAGCATGGGGAAGAAGGGAACTGAATGCTGAGTTTAGATTTAGAAGACTACGTTCTCTTCTTCCTTTATTAGAAACATGAAATCGACCGTTTATTGTTGCTTGTTCGTCGGTTTTATTTATTTATTTACTGGCAACCAAGAATTCAGAAGAGCTTATGATGATTACAGGTTCTTATTTCGGGATTGCATTTGACATTGATGGGGTTGTTCTACGTGGCCACGCTCCTATTGAAGAATCTCCTAAAGCTTCGAGAAGGTTGTATGCAGACTCTGCATCCTCTGATATCGATTTATTCACCAAAGTGAAGATTTCAAACTATAAAAACTGTAAAAGCATCATGATGCTGCCCTTTTCTTGGTGTCTACAAACTCACTAGCACCCTTTTCCCAAATGTTCTGAAAGTGGAAACAACTGGATAGCAGTTTTCTCCCAAACAATCTACCTGTCAGTTGATATTGGACCAACTAATGAACAGTGGAACAGCAAGATATCAATTCCTTTATTGACAATGAATCAAGCTTTGAGGCCGAAACATGTAGCTGCTGTAATTAGATACCAAAATGATCCACTAAAAGCACTAAAAATGTTCAACCAAGTGAAAACAGAAGATGGTTTCAAGCACACAATGCTCACGTATAAGTGCATGATTGAGAAGCTTGGGCTTCATGGAGAGTTCGAAGCCATGGAGGATGTGCTTGCTGAAACGAGGAAAAATATTGATAACAAAATGCTTGAAGGAGTGTATATTGGAGTTATGAGAGACTATGGCAGGAAAGGAAAGGTTCAAGAAGCTGTAAATGCGTTTGAAAGGATGGACTTTTATGATTGTGAGCCATCTGTTCATTCATATAATGTCATCATGAACATTCTCGTTGAGTACGGGTATTTCAATCAAGCTCACAAAGTGTATATGAGGATGAAAGATATTGGAATTCATCCAGATGTTTATACGCACACAATTAGGATAAAGTCCTTTTGTAGAACTGGTAGGCCGAGTGCTGCCCTGCGGCTGCTTAATAACATGCCTGGCCAAGGGTGTGAGTTCAATGCAGTTTCATATTGTGCAGTGATTGGTGGATTTTATGAAGAGAACCGTCAAATTGAGGCGTATGACTTGTTTGAAGAAATGCTTAAGAAAGGTATATGCCCTGATATTTTAACATTCAATAAGCTCATTCATATTCTTTGTAAGAAGGGAAACGTTCAAGAAAGTGAAAAACTTGTCAACAAGGTACTGAAGAGGGGAGTGTGCCTAAATTTGTTTACATACAATATCTTTATTCAGGGTCTTTGTAGAAAAGGTGCCATTGATGAAGCTGCTAGATTATTGGAGAGTATCGTATCAGAAGGTCTAACTCCTGATTTAGTTTCATATAACACGTTGATTTGTGGATTCTGTAAACATTCAAAGTTAGAAGTAGCAGAGTGTTATATGCGTAAGATGGTGAATAATGGGTTTGAGCCCAATGAATTTACCTATAATACAATTATTAATGGATTTTGTAAAAATGGTATGATGCAAAATGCAGATAAAATTCTCCGTGATGCAATGTTTAAGGGGTTCGTGCCTGATGAATTTACGTATAGCTCTTTAATTGATGGATTATGCCAGGTCGGTGATATGGACCGAGCCATGACTGTATTTAATGAGGTATTGGGAAAAGGATTAAAGCCTAGCATTATTCTCTATAATACACTGGTCAAAGGATTATCCCAGCAGGGGCTTATTTTGCAGGCCTTGCAGCTAATGAAGGATATGACAGAACATGGTTGTAACCCTGATATTTGGACTTACAATCTAGTCGTGAATGGGCTGTGCAAGATGGGTTGTTTATCTGATGCCAGTCAAGTTTTGAATGATGCTATTGCCAAAGGTTGTATTCCTGATATATTTACCTTTAATACATTGATTGATGGTTACTGTAAACAACTAAACTTGGATAAAGCCATTGATATTTTAGACACAATGTTGAGTCATGGTATAACTCCTGATGTGATCACGTATAATACACTCTTAAATGGCCTTTGCAAGGCGAGAAAGCTAGAAAATGTGGTGGACACTTTCAAAGTGATGATTGAGAAGGGGTGTATACCGAACATTATTACATATAACATATTGATTGAAAATTTTTGTAAAGCTCAAAAAGTTGGCGAAGCAATGGACTTGTTTCAAGAGATGAAAGCTAGAGGTTTGACTCCTGATATTGTTACTGTTTGCACCTTGATCTGTGGCTTATGCAGTAATGGTGGGCTGGATGAAGCATATCAGCTTTTTTTGAAATTGGAAAAAGAATTCAAATTCTCATATTCAACACCTATATTCAACATTATGATCAATGCTTTCTGTGAAAAACTACATGTAAGTATGGCAGAAAAGCTCTTTCATAAGATGGGTGGTTGTGGCTGTACTCCAGACAATTACACCTACCGCATCATGATAGATGCTTACTGCAAAACAGGGAACATTGACCCTGCATACACTTTTCTCCTGGAAAATATCAATAAAGGGTTGGTTCCATCATTCACAACTTGTGGAAGGGTCTTAAACTGTCTTTGTGTAAAGCACAGATTAAGTGAGGCAGTGGCTGTTATAAACCTCATGGTACAGAGTAGCATTGTTCCGGAAGAAGTGAATTCAATTTTTGAAGCTGATAAGAAGGAGGTGGCCGCACCTAAAATTGTTGTAGAATATCTAATGAAGAAGTCCCATATCACATACTATAGTTATGAGCTGTTATATGATGGAGTTCGGGATAGAAAGTTGGAGAAGAAAAAGTTCAAGAAAATCCCTTCCCTAGGTTCAGAAAAGAGGTACTCGAATCTTCAAAGACCTATTTAAAAGATCATAATGTGAAGCAGAAGTTATTAGATGTCACATATGGTACATAAAAGATGCTGATAAACAATGTTTCATACACGTTAACCTTATTGATTCTTAATAACTTATGATTGACTGGTGCTATCGGGATGGTATAAGCTGTCTTCTTTTGGGTGGCGTGGCTTTCTTGGGAACCCTTAATCGCACTGGCAAGCCAGAAAGATGGATTTCCTACAGTTTCATAAATTGAAGACATATAGTTATGTGATCTTTTACGAATTCTGGAAGTACCGAGGTGTAAAAGCTCAGGCAACAAGGTAGTGAAAAACTGCAGGCTGATGTATAAGGATAATTATGCATTTTACCATTTAAAATGTATAGATGAAATTAGAGATTCTGATCAGAATTAAAAATGGGATGTGAACTTTGGCATCATTTTATTTGCAGGCCACTTGTCGGTCTTGTCTATCCTCTGTAAGTTTCTTGCTTCACTCTCTTTCAAAAATAGTTGTTGACTAAACTGAATTCAATCTTTTTTGGATTTTGGGTTTTGGGTTTTTGCAGATATGCCTCAATCAGAGCCATCAAGACCAAATATCCCACCGACGATCAGCAATGGCTTACTTACTGGGGTTTGCACTCCATGATTACTCTCTTCGAGCTGACCTTCTCCAAGATTCATGAATGGTAGGAGTTTAGGAGCTTCTGCTTTCACAATTACTTTGAGTTTCATCTGCTCGCTGAAAGTTTCTGAGTAATATTTCATGGCAGGGTTCCATATGGCCATATGCAAAATGGTTCTATTCTGTTGGTTGTCCGACTTCAGCGGAGCTGCGCATGTGTAGGAGCATTATCTGAGACCCCTAATGGTGAACCAGCAGAGAGTGAACGTTTGGTATGTTCCAAAGGGAAAGGAGCCTTTGAACAAGCGCATACAGTGCATGAACTTTATGGTTCAAATACAGCTGGGATGAATATAGGTTGGAAAAAGTGAAGTTCCTGATGAAGGGAATTCAAGGAGTACTCCAAGCTTGATAAATTGAAGGCAGAGCGTTTGGATGATGATAGCTTACTGATATTTAAAAGTGAATTGGTGCGAGGTGTCATAGATAAGGCTCAATTTGGTGACTATGGCTTAGTGCATACAGTGCATGAGCTTTACGGTTCAAATACAGCTGGCCTGTTGCTTTCTGTAATGAGTCGTTTGTTCACCATTTTTCTTCAGGTGATGGTGCACTAGCTCAAACTTACTTCCTTAATATAGAATAACATATTTTAGTAAATAACTCATGTTACGAGTTGGCATCGGTAATACTTGAACTTTCATCTTTCATTACTTAGATTGGGCTCACATGTGGAGTAGACGATCTTTTGCTGTTAGAATGTATGGACAAGGAGAGGGTGGAGAAACTCCAAATCCGCGGTGAACAGGTGCATCTTGGATTTCTTATGGTCAAGGATGGAGAAAATTTAGGTATCTTTCGTCTTCGCCGTTAGGGCTCGATGCATAAAGTTATCGTAATTAATAAGTATTAGCAATGGATATATTGTAGAAATTGTTTGTGTACTTTTTAAAGTTGGTAGTTTGCCTCCCCTCCCCTCCAGTCTCATGTGAAGATATTTCACAAAAGACCTTACCGTGCTCATCTTAGGATTGGGCATCACCAGCTGGAGGGTTTATTGTTGATCGCTTTCTTACTGGTCTTCGACCTCGAGAATATTACTTCCATTGAACCCCAAGTGGCAGCCCAGTTGGTAAGAGTTTGGTATCTAGGTTCAGTGGTTTCAAGTTTGAATCTTCTGGTGAGCTTAATACTAAAAATCATTAATGTCTCCCGAATTTGAGTCTTGAGGCGAGTGTGGGTACTCCTAGATATAGTGGAGCGAAACTCCAACTCCCTGTTCTCAAAAAAAAATAAAAATACTTCCATTGCATGGCTGCCTGTGAAAGGTAAATTAAACTTCTTCTGGACTGTAATTTGGCATCAATAGGACTTGGTTTTTTCTTCTCAGAAGTTAAATTTTGCATATCTACCTTTCACACTGTCCTATATATTTGAAAATTAAAATTAAGTTTGGTTCCATATCGTCGTTGTCATTTTCAATAAACAACATGTGGGGTGGGAGATTCGAACTCACGACCATCTAGTCGTACATCGTTGTCTTAACCCAACTTATGTTAGCATTTTAGATCATGATTTGGCACTATTTTTCTGACAAGAAACTAAAAATAAATTACCAAAAAGAACGAAACAGCCTAAAAGGCCTCGTGGAAGAGGGATCCCCATGCCTAGTAGACTTGAAAAAGCCCCTCCTAAGTTGATCCTAACTGCTGTAATTACAAAAGTTCCTATAAGAGGCACTTCAATGAATTTAATATTTATATTCCTAGATTTCAGCTTAAGTAAAACAAATACCCAAAGTTTCAATTTCAGTCATTTAAACTTTTGTTTCTCAAAGCATTCATCCATTTAAACTTCAAACTATTAAGTGTTAAAATTTACTCTTAACAATTATCATTCAATCAAACTTTTTTTTTTTGGTCAACTTGAGTTTAATTTAGCTAGTTAAGTCACTGACCAAAATATTATGAGTCTGAATCTCAACTCCACATGTTATTTTATTCTCTTTTTTTCCTCTCTTTCCATGCCTTTGTGTTGAATTTTTACTTTTACAGACCGTTTTGACGTTGCTACCTATGTTCATATGTGACTAGCCTGAAGTCAAGTGTCTAAATTGAATGGATTACATAAACATACATTTGGAACGCTACAAATCTCTTCATCTCAATCAATCCAATATCAATTGGATTTGATATGAATCGAGGTGTTTGAATCATGCCTTCAAGGAGAATCCTGGAGATTTACCTTACATGCTATCAAAGTTAACAACAAATGAAAGTTGCCTTAAATGCACTCGTACATCATTTACAACGAACTGAATTTAAATTCAAGTTACTAATTGCATTACAGTTGGACTAAAGAAACTCAAACTGTATTAAATAAACTCAAGAGTTACAAACCATTTAATTGACTGTGGGATGTTTTGAACATAGTTCAACTAGTTAAGGGATTTATCTCCGATCAAAAAGTCGTAAGTTTGAATTTTCACCTTCACGTGTTGTACTAAATTTTGTTTTGGAGGATCTATTTAGCATTGCTTATTTCCTAGTAAAGTTCATATTTGATATTTATTTGAGTGAGATTTCAGCGTTTTGCACTTACTAAACCATAAGCTTCTCCTTTGCATCTATTGTATTTTAGAATCACATATATTATCATTTAGGTAGCTTTGATCAAGCTAGCTTGTGGAGTGATTAAAATCTTGAGTTTATAAAGACGTCTTTCGTACTCTTTTGTTCATGATCATAAAGGTAAATCCATTCTAACTCTTGTTCTGAAATTATATTGATTTAAGAGTTTTAGCGTTTGTGGTCTGGGGATTTGTATAACATAATGAATTCTTATATCTAATTGGCTAGTATTTTCATATCAAGGATTTCTAATAACTATACACACAATCAAGCAATAATTAGCTTATCGGTCCATGGCATATTGTCAATATAGTTAAGAACACAAACTCCACGACCTCAACTTAACCTCAATGCCAACTCCCTTCTCCTTTTTGTGTGTATAGCACATTAATCTTGGTAGTCACTTTAGAGAAAAAAATAATCAAACAAACAAAACGCCATCACATGAAATTTTGCAAATTGTAGACATTTTTTCTCTCTAAAGATATGATGATCTATCACCAATTAGGACATGGAAAAAATCGACTTTTCTGAGGGGAGATTCGAACCTACGACCTTTTAGTTGAAATATCAATGTCTTAATCAGTTAAATCATGTTCAGGTTGACGACTATACGATATACTACATCCTTACATCGTGATTTACTTATAAAGATATGAATATCTTTTTTATTCTTCGTGGAAAATCAATCAACCACCGTAAAGGAAGTGATTAGTATCGCATAGTTGATAACCGTGCTAAAAATTAATTAATTTTATGGTATGGATATGTAAAAGTGAAGTTTCTTTTAAATTCATTGTTTGAGTTCGCTTTATATATAACATTATTTAAGTTTATTTCGACGTATTTTTCTAAGTGAAAAAGATTCTCACATGTTCAAACATAAAATTAACAAGTCTTGCATTTTGACAAAATTTTCTCACTTCAATTTCTAGTCCTATGACTATTTTTATAACTCAACTTACAATAATCTTGGTCCTTGAATATCATGTGAAAGCTGTCAACTAGAAAGAAATTAAATTGAGTACTGATAGTTAAAAGGTCCGTTCCATATGCAGTGTATATTAGGTTTATTATTTTCATATGGTTCAGTGAATAGCGTTTGGCATATTTATTTTTGAAAACTGTTTTCTTATTATGTAAAAATGTTTAAAATAATATTTTTATGTATTTCAGTGTTTTCCTATGAATTTGAAACTTTAAGAATGCGAATTAAATTAAGAAAGATAAAATATTTGATAAATATGCTACATCGTGGATTTTGTTTTTGTTAAAACTCAAAAAGTAAAATATAATGTAATTATAAAATAATAATTCCATAAAATTTATAGCATATATGTTAATAAATATTATTTTATATTTAATTGAATATTTAGTGGTCACTCCTACTTATTTACAAATATATTAATTAGATAATTTGTTAAATTGATGTTTAATTTTCAAATTTCCAAATGTACTACCAAACACATATAAAACACCGAAAATAATTATGTTTTTATTTAATCTAATGTTTTCAGATCACCAACTAAACGCTACTTATAATTTTTTAAGATGATGAGAGAAAACGACTTACATAAAAAAATTGATTTATCCCTTTCCGTCACGTTTTTTTATTACTTTTTTTTAGTATTTGTGTTTTAACTGGTGTATACATATGGACAAAATATTAATGATAAGAAATTTAAACAAATTTTAAAATTAATGAAACGTTTATTTGTTAAATTAAAATGTTTTAAAAAAATATCAATATTTTTATAAATTGATATTTTGGTATTTTCATTGATATCAAATTTAAAATCTTAGTTCTAGTAGATTACTTCATATTACATACAAATGAGGGTATCTTTTTTTATTTTTTTCCTCTCTGGTATGAAGTATCATTATTTGTATATCACATACAATAAATAAATATATATATACCCTACAAATAATTAAAAATAAAGAAAATTAACTCAATAAAATAAAATAAAAATAAAGAAAAATATACAAGAGGAGCACTTTGTATTAAAAAAAAAAAGTTTTATTATCTGAAATCTCATATTTTATTTAACCTTTCCTTCCAGTCACATTAACAAACGACCGTCTCTTGCTTCCCCTCAAATCTCTCGTCTTCTTCACTCGTCCCCTGCCATCCGCCGCACAGGTGCTCTTTGCCGCCGCCGCCGCACCGTTGTTCTTCGCCGCCGTCGTACTGCTGTTCTTCGCCATCCTCAAATCGCGTGCCTTTTGTGGTCGCCGTTCATATGCTGATGTTCGACTTCTTTCAATCCTGCTCTTGCTCTATATTTTTTCCCTCTCTGGCGCACGCCGACTTTTGAAGACTAAAGTAGTTGGAGTAGCTTGTCACTGCCATGGCTCAGACCACAGAGGTACCGATGCCCGTTTCTATTTGATGTTTTCAGATATTACTCAAGTTTTCTTCTGAAGTAGAGGCATGGAAATTTTAGCTGCTTTGTGGTGGAACGTTGAAAAGTATTGTAGGTTCCTTAATGGCGTGAAAATTTGTTGCAGGGTGCGTCCGAGTCGGTCGAGGCGGTCGCTTTCAGTTTCATGACTGATGAGGAGGTTCGTAAACACAGTGCTGTGAAAGTTACTGCGCCCATATTATTAGACGGTATGGGCAGACCGGTATCTGGCGGACTTTATGATCCGGCAATGGGTTCTTTAGACGATACAACACTGTGAGTAGTATTCTGGAAACATTTTTAGTTATCTTTCAAAAATCGTGTTCTTGTCCTGCTGCCATCCAATTTTATATATCTGTGTTTTTTGACGAATGTTTGCACACTTGGATTTACATACGAGTTTGTTTTGTGACGCTTCTTGTTCATAGGCAATAGGCTCTCGAAGTTTTATCTTGAATATTTTGTTTTGCATTATCTACATCTATTTTTTTATTTATTTTTATTTTTTGTCTCTCCGTTCATTAGTTGGTATATGAATATGTAAGTTGTGCTCCTAGAATATGGAGCGTTCTTATAGTCTACGAGATTATCAGACATTCCAATTTATTATCCATCTTCAAATAGGACAGGAAGTACAAATTTATTAGCATCGACTTATTGTGTGTACATGTTGATAGCCATGTTTCTAGAGTTGGTTTTCCCTGGCGGAAGAATTTTTTTTATGGACTTTTGGACCTTTTATCATTGTTGAGACTTGATAGGTACTTCCATTCCATTCTACTGAGCTTTATTGTAAATTTAATTGTTTATGATCTTAAGAGGTTGGAGCCCTCTCTTGTAGTTTTGCCGTGTTCTTTTGGTGGCTTATTTCTTGAGTTGGTCTTAGTTTGAGTATGGAAAATCATCATGAGAGGTTCTGACATACCAAATGGCAAATGATTCCACTCCGTGGAAATACGTGCCTCTAAGCTTAGGAAGAAAACAGAACTTCACTCTTTCTAATCACTGGACATACATTGCATGGGAAGGAAAAGTAGGTTTAATAGCTTCTGTCAAATTTCTCACAAATATCACGAGCGTATCATAGGCCATGATTGCTTTTTTTTTTTTTTGAAGGCATAGGCCATGATTGTTTAGACTGGATGATTCTTAAATGAATCTAAACTAAGTGCACAACCCTTTATTCAAGCTAATGGGGAATCATATTGTTTAAATTTCTTTGCAATGGATATAAACCGTGTTAATGGAAGGTTTTCTTCAGTTGATTTTGTCATTTCTTTTAAACTGCAATGATGGAGACAAATTTTTTCCCTATCTCTCTCTCTTCTAAAAAGACTGGTGTTATAAGACTTTTGAGTTTAGTTTCATATTAAAATTTCTTTCCTTTTTTTTTTTTTTAAATTATGGTGACATCCTTTTCATTTACAGGTTTGAGCTTGTCTTGTATTCTAAAGTTTTTTACTTATTCTCTATTTCATTAAATATTTATTTGTTTGGTATTTTTGTTTATGTAGTTGCAAATCATGTGGACAAAGGCCTTTATACTGTCCTGGTCATTGTGGTCACATTGATCTTGTTTCACCTGTGTATAACCCCTTGCTATTTGTCATTCTCCATAATATTCTACAACGTACTTGTTTCTCTTGCCACCATTTTCGGGCTGGTGAATCCCAGGTAAACTTATTATGGTTTAATGATGTTTTTAGGTATAATATATTGAGTTTCATACACCCCGTCTTTATGTTTTCTATACATAAATAATACTTGCTAATTTAATTCTTGACTTTAGGTTGAAAAATGTGTATCTCAACTAGACCTCATTTCAAATGGTGATGTTGTCGAGGCCAAAGAGTTGGATTCGGAGTGGCTAAGTGAGCCTTCACATTCAAAATATAGCAATGGAAGGCAGAACATGCAACCAGGAAAATGGACTTCTCTCCAATTTTCTGAAGCCATATCAGTTGTGAATAAATTTTTGAAGCCCAAACAGAGAGAATGCAAAAATTGTGGTGCCAAAAATCCTAAGATTAGTAGACCAACTTTTGGTTGGCTTAACATGGTATTTATTATTACATGCCCATTGCTTAAAATCCAGAAGTGATATTACATTTATAGCTCTACTAGTCATGGGCAAATGTGGTTACACATGATCACTCTTTTGATTATTGCTATATGGGATTCTTTTGTTATTTGTTTTCTTCCCTTTTCCATAGTTTTTGGTCCGTTGTGTAGCTCCTATTATTATCCTTCCTTTTCTGTAAATCTTGGCTGTGTTTGTTATAAAAAGTTATTGATGATATCAACCACTTTTTAAAAACACTACAAGTATATTAATCTGGGAAAAGTTTTTTTCAAAGAAATGCCCAAGGGATGAGTTTCTTTCTATAGAAGGAACGCAACCAAAGAATGAAGCGTATAACACTGTTGTTTTTCTTTTCCTTCTTTTAGAGGAGAAATAGTTAGCTTTTATGACTCTATATTATTATTTGATTTGATAGAAGATACGGTCTGTACTTTCTACGATACACGGTACATTATTAAACAACAAAAGAAAAGAAAAGATTGATTAAGAAAATGATATAGAACATTTGTTACTCTTAAAAGCTACCATACATTAATTGATTATTAAATGTGAAAGATTGATTGTGAAAAAATACTACTTCCAATAGATTGCTCATTGAAGTTAGTAGTTTTGCTGGGGGTTGTAATTTTACTTCATTATAGTTGAATGTAGTTGTGCTTTTTTTGGATCTAAAACAAAGAACACATGATCAATGAGAAAGATGATCTTCAAGGCAGAATGCTGAGAATATGTGTTGAAGTGGGTAGGAGTAAGTTCAACAACATATCATGAAATCTTGCCAAACCTCTCTATCTTGTGAGTGGAAGCTTGCTATGAGATTGATTGACCTGTAATGTTCCCACCCTCGTGTATATGCTTCAATAGGAACTAAACAGGATAGATTGATACAATTGAAACCTTTGGTGAAATGCCCACTTCTAACTGAGCATATAAAGTATGTTTAATAGTTTGTTTTAGGGATTGATGACTAACCCATTCAATGATTTACACATTGGACACTAGAACCATTTAACAGATGATGCTCATGTTCATAAATATAGTTGATGTACTTGTTTCATTAGAACCATTTACTTAGTAGAAATCTTGAACTCTCTTTCAAGTTGTATTGCACAAGTTTTATGGATTTGATTTCAAGTTCTCCTTCTTGGTGGATGCAGAGTGGCTTGCCTGGAGCCCATAAGAGGGCGAATGCCATTAGAGGTTGCAAGCCTGTGAGTGTAATTAGTGGGGCTGAAGGAATATCCTCGCTTGAGGAAGAGACTACATTTTCGCACACTACTGTTATCAATACATCGGAAGGGGATGCATTCGATGACACTGCGACCAAAGCCCCTACAGAAGACTCTGAGGAAGTTCCTCCTGAAGTCTTCATGCAAAAGAATTTCTCCTCAGGACATTTGATGCCATCTGAGGTACTGTCAGTTTATTTTATAGCAGGTCAATTTGTTTCCCCTTCCATTTTTTCTAATTATTTTTTTTTTATTGTAGGTTAAAGTTATCATGAGGCAATTGTGGAAAAATGAGGCTACGCTATGCTCGTTTATTAGTGATATTCAGCATCAGGGACATGGAAAAAAAGCAGGCCACTCCATGTTTTTCTTAGAGAATGTTCTAATCCCTCCAATTAAGTTCCGACCCCCTGCAAAAGGAGGTGATTCTGTAAGTATACTCTCTCTCTTTCTCTGTATACGACCTAAGACCAAAGGCTTTTGATGATCACTCGCTTGATCATCCCTTTTCTTTTAGGAACAACTTAAGTGGATGCATGGAAATGAATTAAATTTAGTAAATCGAAACCAACTAAATATCAAAGCTTTTGATAAGATGATAACTGGTAACTATAATATTTCTTGTTAATTTGAATGATACTTTTTTTGTCTCCTCTCTGAAACATTATTTGTCAATTAAGACAATGTATCTGGTGACTAGCATTTGCATTCCCCCTTATTAATACAGTAAGGAATATCGTTAAAAACAATCATTTTTCGAGTTGCCAATATTAAACTGGTTTTGAGAATTGGGATCACGAGTCATTGTATGTTTTGCTAAAGTAATAGTACTTATCCCTAGCATTTTAGCATGCAACATTTTTTCCTAACCCAATATCCAATAAATCTAGCTGTAACAATTATGTGGCCTCGGGTATGTGTTTCCGGAAAGAGAATCTCAATATTGCTGATAATTTGTGTTTCTCAGGTAATGGAGCATCCTCAAACTGTGTTACTGAACAAGGTGCTACAGTCCAATATTTCATTAGGAAATGCTCATGCTAACAAATCAGAACACTCAAAGATAGTGAGGCTATGGATGGATCTTCAGCAGTCTGTCAATGTTTTGTTTGATAGCAAAACTGCAGCTGGTAAAAGCATGTTTATTCTGTCATGTTTTCTACAAATTGTTTCAGCCTTCAATTTATATGCAATGCTTCAATTCCCAGTTTATGGCTTCTTTTTTCTTTTTTCAGATTTAAGTTGAATTTTTTTAAGAAAAATTTTAGCACCAACCCTGGACACAAGGCACATAACTTGACTTTGATAAATGGATTCCATGTCATAATTTCTTGCAATTAAGCTATTCTAGAAACTTTGATAGGCCATTTTCTTTCTTTTATTGCTGGATAAAACATATATCGACCAAAACAAATGTTTCTGTCATTCTTTTTGTAACCATTATTTTCTATCATGTTTACACCTGGTGTTTATCACACTGGAATCTGGATCCTGTTTTTGGAGAAGCTTTTGATAAAACAAAACTGATGAACAATTGCATTGGCTTTTACTTTCTTGAATAATCTGTATCAAATGTTATTTGTTTTTTAAAATAGAAAATCGAGCTTTCATTGAGATAAGATGAAAGAATATACAAAAGACATACAAAGAAAGGGACTGGCCTGTAAGAAGGGACCCAATCCAAAAGAATAACATGTAACTTATAACTACAAAATGCCTTCGGGACCGATTAGCACAAAGAAGAATTTAACCTAACAATCTCCCAAATTTCTTCTTAAGACCTCTCAACCCCCATAAAAATTGTGTTATCTCTCCCAAGTCAAATACCCCATAAAATAGCCCCCCCCAAAAAAAAAGCCTGCTATAACTGACCTCCCTATCCTAAAAAAGGTGAAAAAGCAACACCACCTCCAACATTGCCCTATAGATCCTGTAAGAGCCAAAGAAACCCCAAAACTTCCAATAAACTATTACAAATTGACTAACTGGTAGCTCCAAAGGATATGGTCCCATATCTTGCATTCTTGCAAAAGATGCACCATCGAGGATCCAAAAAAAAGGAAGAATGTCTCCGAACACGATCCATAGTATTAACTTTCCCATGCTCCTGCCAAACGAATAACTTTATATTTTTTGGAATCTTTACCTTTTCAGAGCGTCAGAGCGATGTGAATGAGGCATTAGGGAGAAGCGAAGAATGCTCAAAAGACTAAAAAAGAACAACAAGAGGAACTTGGTGACTGGCTAGGGGACCCCACACTAAGGTTCTTTCTCCCTTGAATGAGGCGAACATCCCCTACGGACAATAGCAAAGCAACAGCCTCCGACGATTCCCTATCCATCAAAGACTGAGAGAGACTCAAAGAATTAGAAGGGGAGTCCTCTCGGACCCCAACATAGAGGTCATTGAATGTGGCATCATCTCATAAAGGTGTTATAAGTGATGGAACAAGAGACATAGGAGTTTGTCACCCACCCAATAATCCTCCTAGAACTGAGATCTGATACCATCCCCAATAGAGCAAGAAATAGATCGGGAGAAAAAGGGAAAGATAGAAGTTCCGGGAGCATTTACCAAAACTCTTGAGACCACTAGTAGCTAAGATCCAATGAAAAGGATGCAAACCATATTTGCTCACAATAATCCTATGTCACTGGGAATTAGGTTCCTGAAAAAACGCCACGACCATTTTGCTAATAAAGCCTCGTTCTAAACCTTAAGTTCCCAATTCCCAATCTTACCGCTTCACTGAGGTTTTTAAATGATATCCCAATTAACCAAACAAGGACCTCTTCCCTCATCCATCCCCTCCCACAAGAGCTCCCTCATGATTTTCTCCAAACGTTTGCACATGGACACCGAGATTTTATACAAGGATAGGAAGTAATTTGGGATCCCTCTCAACTACATAAGGGTAAGTCTCACTCCCTTAGAAAATAATGCTCTTTTCCAATCAGAAAGGTACTTTTGAAGCTTTTCTAAAACAGGAGACCAAAACACCAAGTTCTTCAAATTATGGCCTAAAGGGAGCCCTAGGTAAGCCCTAAGGGGAAGGGAAATCTTGTATCTCACGCCCGGTCAGGGAAGCCCAAGAGGTGAGTTTGGATTGCTCACTATTAGAACTCTTATCTCTATTAATCCTGAGCCCCAAAATCACTTCAATTAACAAGCAGAGACGTATCAACTTAATAAAGGAACTTTTCTTTCCTGAGCAAAGGAAGAGTGTCATCCACAAACAGTAAATGTGACAAGCAAATACTCTCTCTCCCCGCAAGGAATCCTTCCAACTCTCATTCTTAACTCTAGTAGAGACTAACTTGCTAACAATGTCTGTCACAAGGATGAAGAGAAAAGGGGACAAAGTGTCCTCTTGCCTCAGACCCCTAGAAGCCAGAATCTTACCAGTTACCCCTTGGTCTCCGACTCTCCCGTTTACGAAGATCGAGAAATTAACATTTCTAACAGAGATCCAAATCTAGGTTTTCAAATGGCCAAAGCCTTTCTTTCATATCTGTAATATGGCAACCCTTGAGAACAGGGCTAAGTTTAACTTTATATGGATTTACTCTTGCTGGTAGGGTTTGTAAGCGTGTTGGTTCAACTTGATTATTTATTTATTTATTGGCTAAAACCGATGCTGAACTTGACCTATCAGTTTGAGAAAAAAACGATGGCAAAACTATTCTTTCTAAAACCGAATCAGACTATCAGACAAATGACAAAACCAATCACCAAATCCCCCAAAGTCAAACTGAACCAATTGAAACTGACAAATTAATTTCTGGTTCTATTTTTTATGAAATTAAACCGACTAGTGCATATTGCTCAAACCAATTAAACCAACTTGATTTGGTTTGTTTATTATTATAAAAAATATGAAATAAACAAACCAAATCAAGTTGGTTTAATTGGTTTGAGCAATATGCACTAGTCGGTTTAATTTCATAAAAAATAGAACCAGAAATTAATTTGAAAAACTTGATTTGGTTTGTTTATTAGTTTATTTTTTTTGGTTCTGGCGTGCATCCTACTTGCTGGGGATACTTGAATGAAATAAATTACTAAAATTTTAAATGTCAGGAAGGGAGAGTACTGAAGTTGGGGACTTGATTTTGTTTCAATTTGTCTTGCTGGCTTGTTTCAATCGATTTTCTTCATTACCTTCTTTTTTCTTTTGTTTTTTTTTTATTTTCAAATTTCCAGTTAGGGAGCCTTCTTATATTCTTATTTAGGGCTTTTTTACTGTAAGATGTCCTAATAAAATTCCACCCATGCTGAAATAAAGTTATGCACAGGTTATCTGGTATTTGTGCCAGTAATTGAAAAGATCTGCCTCACCTTGGTCCAAAATTATCTCATTGTTCAAATTGCAGTTTTTCCACACCTTTCCACTTTTATTTATATTATTATTTTTAATTGATTAATGAAAAGGAACAAAATGTTGGAAGGATACGAACTCAAAAAGGAGTTTTTCTAATATTAATTTTAATCTATTAGTATCATGTTACTATTACTGGTAGTCTAGTACTGTCACCAATGTATACACAAGTCAAGTATCTGCATATTGAATGGTGGCCATGCTTTCTTGATGGCTGGTTCAGGTCAAAAAGATATTTCTGTGGGAATATGTCAGTTATTGGAGAAGAAGGAAGGCATGTTTCGTCAAAAGATGATGGGAAAGAGGGTTAACTTTGCATGCCGATCTGTCATTTCACCGGATCCCTACTTAGCAGTTAACGAAATTGGAATTCCCCCTTATTTTGCTTTGAGATTAAGCTATCCAGAGGTAACCTATTCTAAATAAGCATTCTACTTGTAGTGATATTTATTATCTTCTAAATTTGAATATGCTATGTATTGGTTTTCCTTTTAAAATATGAGCTTGATTGGATAGATGAGTGGTGATTTGACATGATGTGGTAGTACGTGGCTCAAGAGTAGATTAGTTGGATAAAACAAGGACAAACTAGCCAAAAAATCCATTACCTCATTGAACTATTTTGCCTTGATTGTCTTAATTTTGTTTGTCTAGCCTACTATTGCATTTCAACGGTGCATGTGCTTAAGAAGAATATTTGCATTTCCAATTTAGACGCGAAAGAAGAATGTCTTGGTATATCAAATGATGAAAGGTCTCTTCGTGTTTCTCTTCAAAACAAATTACTTAATATTTTCATAACACAGATTACTTAATATTTTCATCGAGGAAGAGCACATCTTGATTCAGAAATGCAAAGTTCATTGGCTGAAGGAAGAAGATGAGAATTCTAAGTTCTTTCATCGCTGTCTAGTTGCTCGAAAAAAGAAGGCCATGATCATTGAGTTATCAGACTCTAACGGGTGCCCTTGTTGAATGAGCAGGACATAGAAGCTGCAGTTATTGTTTTTTGATCAGCTATACTCTAGAATCCCTATCTAGAAATTTTCTATTTGAGGTATTTATAGGCGCCTAGTTTCTTTTGCACATCATTCCAGTGATTTAAAAGCTCCGGGACGTGTGCCTAGGCGTTGGGCGCACTTTTTGTGCAAAGGTGAGGTGAAATCAACGCGTGCCTCTCTGAAAAGCTTCAAGGCACAAAGCCCTTGCCCCTACCCCTTAGAGCCTATGTGATTTTTTTTTTAAACAACCCTTGCATTTAGGGTGTCTTTTTTATAAACGTTTAGTTTGCCTGAGTAGTTTTGTTGGTGTTCTCTTTTACAACAACAAAGTTCAAGACCCTTTCATTGGTGTTCTCTTGCTGATTCTTTTTTCCATTATTCGCCCTCTTATCTTTAACAACTGGGATTCTTTTATTTGGTCGGAGTAGTTTTGTATCTAGCTTCCTTAGTTATGCTTGCCTTCTTTCTTATTTTATTTTCACTCTTTTGAGAGTTTGTATCCTTGAAAATTTTTTGTTCATTTTCATTTCATCAATGAAAAATTTGTTTCTTGTTAAGAAAAAATGCAAAATGGTGCATGTGCTTAAGCAGGTTATTGATAGCATGTCTGGTGGTATTGCCCTTTTTTTTTGTGTGTGTTGGGGGGGGGGTCTTATTTACATGTTTTTGCTATAAAACTGATCATGTTTTATTTTGTTCATTTGCATTGTTACTTTTTTCCAGAGAGTGACTGCTTGGAATGTTCAAAAGTTACGAAATGCTATAATCAATGGTCCGGAAACCCATCCAGGAGCCACACACTACATTGATAAGTTAGCTACCGTGAAGTTGAACTTGAAGCCAAGCCGGAAATCACGCATTTCAATCTCGAGGAAATTACCATCCTCTCGCGGTGTGGTTGTGGATCAAGGAAGCGGCGATTATGAATTTGAAGGGAAAATTGTGAATCGGCATTTGCAAGATGGAGATATCGTTCTTGTGAATCGACAGGTAAATTTTGGTGTCATTTGACACAATTCTTTTACATGTATGCTATTTTTTTTGTCATTACTGTTATAATTGCTTCCAGAATGAATGTTAACTTTAACATTAGCATTATAGATTTGGTATAATGAAAACAGGCCAATGGCAAGCAGACCTTGCCCGCTAAACTGCCAAACCAAATCGATCGAAATGTTGGTTTGCAGTTTGCTTCAGTGTGGTCTACACAATATTTGAGGTTCGGTAGGGTTTTGCTTTTCTTTTTTTTTTTTGTTTTTTTTAATTTGGTTTGCTTTTGGTCCGGCCCCAAAATCAAGCCTAATCGAACCATGGACACCCCTATTGTGTGTTGATATACCTTCTACAATGAGCCTGGAAAGATACCCTAGTGGTTGAGATGTAGGGCTGGATTAAATGCCGATTTTGGTTGAAAAGCTTTAATAAAGGGATTCCTAGATGTAACTATAAGACAGGCACATGTTGTACGCATATGGATTAGTGGTGGAAGCTGATGTCATAGTTCTTAAGGAAAAAAATCTTGTACGATAAAGATTTAATTATTTATGAAAACTATCCATTAAATGGATTGCACGTACTGAACATTTTGAAGTGCATAAAAGTTGTTTATGATGTGAATACCATACTATAATTTTACTGGGTAGATGGCTTCATCATGAGTATTTGATGTTGCAGATTATAGGCCTATATGTCATTTTATACAATTGGATTGGAAATATTTTAGAGGCTTGGTATGATATTCTTTCGTGCATTCTATAGTCCTTTGCACTCATGCTTTTCAATGATGATCTACATAAAATAAAGATGGTGTAAACTGGCTTTTAGAATTCACTTGCATTTTAGTTCTAACATTGGGATGTCTATTTATACCCCATTTCTTCATGTTTTTGGCTCTTTCTCTCTTTTTTTACAGCCTACACTTCACAAACCTAGTATAATGGCTCATGTTGTTCGTGTCTTGAAGGGAGAGAAAACTATTCGAATGCACTATGCAAATTGCAGGTACCAGTGTGTATAATTTGCATATAATTGTAAAACATTTTGTGATATTTTCGATGAGAGCATGTGGCATGTGGCATTGAAAATTTATTGTCCTCTAATTACAGTACGTATAATGCTGATTTTGATGGTGATGAAATGAATGTTCACTTTCCACAAGATGAAATTTCTCGTGCTGAAGCTTACAACATTGTGAATGCAAACAACCAATATGTAAAACCTACCAGTGGTGAACCCATCAGAGCCTTAATTCAGGTACCACTCTATTTCACAAGTAAATTTCTGTCAAAACCCTGAGCTTTTTACTTCATAAATTTTCTGATGTTACTGATATAGGTCGGTGATTAACCACCTAATTTTTTATGTATTCTTCAGGATCACATTATAAGTGCTGTACTTCTCACGAAGAAGGATACTTTTTTAAATTTTGATGAATTTAGCCAGCTTCTGTATAGTTCTGGCATTTCAACATCAAGACCATGTGCTTCTTCAGAGAAACCTGGGCAGAAGGTTTTCACTTTAGACTTTGAAGCTGAGATGCTACCTGTTCTTCCTGCTATATGGAAACCAGAGCCTCTTTGGACAGGGAAACAGGTTGTTAGAACTTAGAAATTTGCTAGCAAATAAGATATATGCACGTTAATGTTGCATCGAGACATGCAAAAGAAAATGAGCCAAATGATTAGGACTTAGGAGTTAATGGGTGTATGCTACTTTAGTAATTTAGAGGATTTTGTTAAGATGTTTTCTGTGTCGCTTGAACTTGAGTAAGCAATGTTAACGATGAAGTGTCTAATAATCTGCATCACTCAAGGTGTTTAAAATGGTTGAGATTAGAAAACTATTGATGTTTGATTTTGCCTTTTCTCAGCGTTGCTCCTGGATTGAATATAAGTTGGTTGTTTCCCAACTAGTTCACTTGTTGCCATGGTTGATTTCTGATGGTGTCTTCATTTTTGTTTTCTTTTGGTTTACAGGTTGTTACAGCCTTATTGGAGCACATCACTAGAGGCTCCCCACCATTTTGTGTGGAAAAAGATGTTAAAATTCCACGTGGTTTTTTTAAGTGCAGACATACGGGGAATAATTCTTCCAAAGTCAAGGTGGTTGATGGTGATAAATCAAAGAGAAAGAGAACTTGGAATGAAAATAGGTTGGGAAAAAGTGAAGTTCCTGATGAAGGGAATTCAAAGAAAAAGGAGTACTCAAAGCTTGATAAATTGAAGGCAGAGCATTTGGATGATGATAGCTTACTGATATTTAAAAATGAATTGGTGCGAGGTGTCATAGATAAGGCTCAATTTGGTGACTATGGCTTAGTGCATACAGTGCATGAGCTTTACGGTTCAAATACAGCTGGCCTGTTGCTTTCTGTAATGAGTCGTTTGTTCACCGTTTTTCTTCAGGTGATGGTGCACTAGTTCAAACATAATCTCATTAATATAGAATAACATATTATAGTTAGTAACTCATGTTACGAGTTGGCATTGGTAATACTTGAACATTCATCTTTCATTACTTAGATGCATGGGTTCACATGTGGAGTAGACGATCTTTTGCTGTTGGAATGTATGGACAAGGAAAGGGAGGAGCAACTCCAAATCTGCGAGAAAATCGGTGAACAGGTGCATCTGGGATTTCTTAAGGTCAAGGATGGCGAAAAATTAGGTATTTTCGTCTTGGCCTCTAGTTCTCGATGCATAAAGTTATAGTAATTAATAAGTAAGTATTAGCAATGGATCTCTTGTAGATATTGTTTGGTACTTTTTAGAGTTGGTGGTTTTCCTCTCCTCAGTCTGATTTCCTAGTGATTTTTGTGGTTTTCTTTGAAAGTTGTTCAGTGGGTTGTTTTGGGAGGACTTTTTCTTTTCTGTCTTCGAATAAGTCATGGAGTTATTTTTCTTAGTTCTTGTTTGGATTGTCCGTACTTTTATATATGTTTTTCAAGGCCTTGGGCATGAAACATTTGTATTATTTCTACAACTTTGTTTTTTATTTATTTTTCCTTTTCAAAATTTCACTTCTTTTCGGAGCTTGTATCTCCATGAACGTTTGTTGTATCTTTTCATTTCTTCGATGAGGATTTTGTATCTTGTTAAAAAAATGTGTGTACTTTTCTGCTTTGGTTTGTATACTTTGAAATGTTATGCTTTAGTACTTGAAAGTTCACAAAAATTCATTTTGTTTTTTGTCATTAGATTTTTGTGTTGCATTTAGTAGAAATATTAAGCCACTTGCTTTGGCTCGATACTAGAATATTCGATAAATATTTAATCATGAATTATGTTTCTTGTTAAAAAAAAAAAAATCTTAAATCTCAAACCACTTATCAAGTTATTGTAATTCTAGGCCACTTGCTTAGTTCAAAAACTCTAGAGAGTAAACCACTTGCTTAGGATCGATACTAGAACTTGACACATTAATTAGGTAAATTACTTTCTCTTGGTGACTTCTTGATGCCAGGGAGGAAACATCTTGTTTCATGTGCATCATTTTATTTGTAATTATAATTCATGCACACTGATTAAAATGTTGCAAGTGTTTGAGAACTACTTATTATGAACCTTCAAGGAAAAATAATTGATGTGGATAAATAGCATGAAAATGATTTGAAAAGGCAAATATAAATGGGCATTTAGCTCTTCCTAGTTAATTATATTTTTTGAAGACGTTAAGCTATATCTTCCATGGAGACTTGTGGCCTGAAGATTGCATCTCATTACACTTTCTATTATTCAGCCTGCTACACAAATATCTTTATTATAGCTGTAGGTGTGGTAATCTATTTGCTTTGCCTTTGGACTTTTTTACTCTGATTGATTTGGGACTTGATTTTTTTGATATGCAGACCCAATGACACTGCAATTGAATATTGAAAAAACTATTTGTGATAATGGAGAACCTGCATTAACATCATTGGATAGAAAAATGACCAGCCAACTTAATGAAAGGACGGGAAACTCTAAGGTCCTCAAAGATTTGCTGTCTGAGGGCTTACTAAAACCGTCAGTAAAGAACTGCATTTCTCTGATGACGACATCTGGGGCTAAAGGTGGTACGGTAGGTTTCCTTGCAATTCTGAGTATCTAAGCATTTGCAGCCGACACAATGCTTCACCCTCAGTTGTTATATCTTTCTACCTCCTTTCCTATTTTAACTTCTTTCCCTTTTGCTTTAAATGGAGTAAGCCTTTATTGATCAAATAACCTCTATTAGTTAGTGCAGTGGTTAAAAAGATGAATAATAATCTTAGATCTCTTATTTCAAAGTTCAAATCTTTGTTGGGATCTTATCTACGTATGGCATTTTTTAGAATATAAAATTAAATATGCTCTAAGTTATTAGCTTAAACTTTTGGATTTCGTAGTTTAATATGCTATTAGAACCAGTAGTCATGTGTTTGAATTCCTTTGATGTTATTTCCTCTGCGATCGATATTTAGAGTTCAATTGTTTGCTGAGTATTTACTTTCTAGTAGTTAGTGTAGTAGTTAATTAGTTGGTGTAGTTGATGTTGTTAGTATTCTTTTTCTAGAAGAATTGGTATAATGGTTTGCTAGTTAATTAGAAGCTTCTATAAAAGTATAAATAGGATGCTACGTCTTTGTAAATGCTATCTTTTTTCTATTAAACTGTTTGTCGAGTAATATTAGATAGTTCAAATCCTAGGCTTGAGTTTAATTTTTGCTCCTTTCTTTTGAATGGTTATCTTATGCAAGAAAGAAGTTATTAGTTATTATCTCCCTGAACATAATAAAATCGAAGGTGATGGTATTTGTTGCACCTTAGAAAGTGAAATGCAGCAATAAAGAATACAAAAAGAAGAAAGTTCAAACAAATGAATACAAAAATATTTCCAAAACTACTGTCTAGGGATTCCATCCTTTTCAACATAATTGACCATCTTTCCTAACTTGTAGTGACCTGTTGACGCATTTAAATGCTTTAAATTTTTTTTTTGTTACATTCAAGTGTTGAAATTTAAATAAACGCTCAATCACAATTTTGCTCTTCTTTTAGATTCTTCTGTTTTTCCTAATATGTGGTGCTTTGAACAGGCTAATTTTCAACAAATATCTTCACATTTAGGCCAGCAGCAGTTAGAAGGCAAGCGAGTTCCCAGAATGGTCTCAGGAAAGACCTTACCCTGCTTTCCGTCTTGGGATTGGGCATCACGAGCTGGAGGGTTTATTGTTGATCGCTTTCTTACTGGTCTTCGACCTCAAGAATATTACTTCCATTGCATGGCTGGCCGTGAAGGGTAAACTAAACTTCTATACTTTGTGTGATTTAGCATCAATAGGACTTGGTTTTTCTTCTCAAAAGTTTAATTGCTTTTGCATCATGTATCCACACTACATACTGTTCTAGATAGTTGAAAATTTAAAGTTAAGTTTGGGTTTCAGATCATCATTTCTGATCAAAAATTGACATTATTTTCTGACGAGAAACTAAAAATAAATTATCAAAAAGAAGGGTTACAGCCTAAAAGGCCAGAGGGAAGAGGGATCCCTATACCTAGTAGGCTTGAAAAATCCCCTCCTATCTAAGTTGATCCTAACTCATATCAAACTTATGAATTTTTTTTTATAGACTATATCAAACAAATAAAACTGGTTGCATAAAATTCTTAAAACTCTAGATTTGCCATATAACACTCGATTTATGGTATCTGTTCCTGTTTTTTGCTTATAGCTTTTGATAGATCGTTTTTTAGTTAAAGAGCAACATTCAATAATTATTAGCTACTATAAAAATATGATTAGTATTTTATTGACATCCTATTGATATATGAACTGTGAGTCTTCTCTCTCATAGGTTGGTTGATACAGCAGTCAAGACATCTCGTAGTGGATATCTTCAAAGATGCCTAATAAAGAATATGGAGTCTCTAAAAATTTGTTACGATCACACTGTTCGTGATGCTGATGGCTCCATTATTCAATTTCAATATGGCGAGGATGGCATAGATGTCCATAAAACAGCATTTATTACAAAATTTGAAGCACTTGTAGCTGTAAGAACTTTAAGCTTCACAAATCTGGATGCTTGATAGAGCTTTTTATTTTTTGTTTGCTCGTTTTCTCTAAATGTTTACATCATAGCTATTTTTGTTTTAGAACCGAGATATGCTATACCAAAAAAGTCATCATCAGCTTGGCAAGTATAATATATATATCAATGAGTTGCCTTCAGCTCTTCAAGAGAAAGCAGAGGTCATATATAATTCCTTCTCGAAGGACAAGGCTCCTGGTCTGGTACAAAAAGATGACTTTTTCAGGCTGTTGGAGAATAAGTACCTGTCAAGTCTTGCACAGCCTGGAGAACCAGTTGGCGTACTTGCTGCTCAGTCTATCGGAGAGCCATCAACACAGATGACGTAAGAGTCCCCCCTCCTTTTGAGACATCTAATCATGTTATTTTTATTTGAATAAGAATTGTTTAAAGAAATTCTTAATAGGAAATAATAATGTCATCTTAATTAGTGTAGATACTTTCTGTAATAGGGAAGAATAAAGCTCTACTGGATATGCATTCTAGGACATTAAAACATGTTATCATTTTATTTTGTAGGAAATAAAACTTTGATTTCAAAAACATGTTACTGTGACAGGGACAGTTAGAAAATGTTTCATTCAATATAATACTAAGAATTTTCTGTAAAATCACCCTACTACAAGAATCTTCTCCTATACTATAAATTTTATAAATAACAGCAACACTCTGCAGTTCCTTCTATAAGATATCATTCTCTAACTATGCTTCAACAATATAACATTCAGCGAGTGTCATGAGAAGGATAAAGTTGGCAATCTGACATGAAGTAGTATATGATAGATACTATGTTCACCAATGTCAATGTCCCATTTATGTGCTATTTAAATATGTTAAGTTATGTCAATGTCCCATTTATGTGCCATTTCAATGAAAGTTTTAGTCCCATTAGATGGTATATAGTGGCTGATTTCACTATCATTCTCTTTTGCTATTGAAATGAAATATGTATCTTAGGTTGAACACGTTCCATCATGCTGGGCGTGGTGAGATGAATGTGACACTTGGAATCCCACGCCTTCAAGAGATCTTGATGACGGCTTCACATGATATCAAGACACCAATTATGACATGTCCATTACGAGATGGCTACTCAATGTAAGTTAAAATCAGTGTTTCTTGATTCTTCTCTAGAGACAGACTTAAATATTTGTCTGATCTTTTTATTACCAGTGTACATTTTACATGGTGACTTCGCCAAAAATCACATCAATATTCTTTTATGCTGTTTCTATTTATTTTTTGATAAAAGATAGCCTAGGGAATCTTTGAAACTTATCGAACCACGGCGAAAGGAACTTTATAGATTGCATTTTATGGCGAAGGGAACTTTATAGATTGCATTTTATGTGAATTTTGCAGGCACAAGTTAACAAATTCTTGCAGGTCATTTTCTTAGTTAAGTCAAATGTGTGTCTATTAATCTATGCAGATAAATAGTATAATCAGGGATAAAAGTATCACCGATATTGACCATAATATAGGCAATATGTCGCTAAAATCATGGGTCCGACAACGATAACAGGGGGAGAGTTGTTTTTACAGTTCTGCCAATATTTTGTCGATATTTTTTGATATTTTACCGATATCCGCGATATAATGCTGATATCCATGGTATTTTACTAATCATCATTTCGTCTCTACTCACTACCAACGGGTATTTTAGTTCTTATCACTTTAGAAAGTTCCACCATGAGTTTTTGGGTTAGGCCAAGAATTTAGGGTCACAAATTCATACATAAATTACAACCTTGACCTAATGGTCAATAAGGGTCCATGCAAATATTAAAGGGCTTAAGGGAATGACTTCAGACTATGGTGGTCGCCTACCTGAGATTTAATATCCTATGAGTTACCTTGGCAACCAAATGTGGTAGGATCAGACGGTTGTCCCGTGAGATTAATCGAGGTACGTGCAAGATGACCTGGATCCATAGATAAAAAAAATAATACACAAATTACATTAAAAATCATTGTCTCGACCTCTCCTTCTTTGTATTTCTTATGTATTTATCAGTAGCATATTAATCATTGTCTATAATCCAAAAAACACATCTTATTGTTGTTAAGTTGTTAAATGGTGTAATGAGCTCCAAAGGGCAGTCCAGTTGACGAGGGCTTGGGGTCTCATGGTCATATTGGTTTAGAGGTCTCAAGTTCGCACCATCTGGTGAGCTTAATACCAAAAACCCTTGATGTCTCTCAGGTTGGGGTGGGTGCGGGTGCCCCGGGGTATTGGGAAGCAAAGCTTCGACTCCCAATTGTAAAAGAACGGTGTATTTATATGAACTGACATTGTTTATTTATCAATGAATTAATCAAAATTTTGTTGATTTATTGACATTCATTACTTTACCATCTATTCTTATATTGATGTGTGTTAATGATACATATGCATAAAATGATAGTTTATGACTTTAATAAGCTTTTTTAAAAGTTTTATTAAGAAATTCACAACATTTTAATTTCCGTGATCCGTGATTTTTTTCTGGAGTATCCATCAATATCCAAATATGTGTCGATATACCCCTAAATTTAAGTTATCGATATTGACATTGATATTTTCATCCTGGAGTATAATAAAGTTGAAATTATAATGTAGAGCACCAATAAATGGATTAATGATTGACTGTCGGACAAGTGTCTGAAATCACCCTACTGTGAAGCATACTATCAAATTTCGCATGTTTAAGATTGGCGGCTCATTCCTAGAATCTTGATTGTTCTAACAATTTTTGTTTCTCATACTCTCATGAACCGAGCGTCTGGACGATGCTGTATTTCTGGATTTGTTTATTATCATTCTTCTCCATATTTGAAGCATCTGTATTTTTGTTGAATAGTCAAGCATGCATTATTACCTGCCAGATATTATAGTCAAGCATGCATTATTACATGCCAGATATTATAGTCAAGCTCCGTATTTGCTGGCAACCTTTCTTCTTTAGGATTTTGTATCCGTGTTGCTTCCTACATTATTACATGCCAGATATTATAGTGAAGCAGGATTACTTACTTCGTTATATGACAGGGATTATGCAAAGTGTCTTGCTAATAAGTTGAAGAAGATTACAGTAGCTGACATAATAGAGAGTATGGAAGTAACTGTCGTGCCATTTTCTGTACGGAAGCGGGAGATATGCAGTATTTATAAGCTTGAAATAAAATTTTACCCACTTGAGAATAATCCACAGCATGGTCATGTATCTTCAGAAGATTTGGAAGAAATTTTGGAATTTGTGTTTGTTAGGGAGTTGGAAGATTCAATCCAAAATGAAATGATCTTGCTATCCCGAATTAACGGTATAAAAAATTTTGTGCCCGATTCACAATCACAGGGCTCGAGTGAAAGAGATGAAGTTAGTAGTTCACAACATGAAGAAAATGATGATGATGATAATGTTGGTAATGACGTGGATGCTGCTGAAGATCTTGGTTTTGATATGAAAAAGCAAAAACTGCGAGCAACGGATGAGATGGATTATGAAGATGATTCAGATGAGGAGCTTAATGCCAAAGCACCATCAGCAGGATTTGAAAGTGAAGTTGATCAAGGTGATGAAGTTGAAATCACCAATGATGATATCATGGATATCGCTAAAGACAGTACATCTGAGAATCAAACTGAGATAACAGATGTCTCGAAGTCCAATTTGAAAGGGAAAACACCCAAAACAGCAAACAAAAAGAAGAAGAGAGCTAAATTAGAATTCTCTAGGAAGGACTATGATAGAGCAATTTTTGTTGCAGCCAAAGGAAATCACTTTGAGGTTCATTTTAAGTTTGCCAATGAACCTCATATTTTACTGACCCAGGTACTTCCTCACATTCGTTCTCTTTTCATCTGGATCTGGTCTGTTTGTTCCTTGCTGTAGTAAACTATGTATTTTCAATTTCGGAATGTTGAGTTCATGTTTGCTGCAGCACTGGTCTAATAGTAGAAGGTGCTCTGTTATATCAGTTTAATATGTATGGTTTTTTTGTTGACACTTCTTTTTCCTTTATTATTTTATTCTATTCTGTGTGGTCCGTAATAGCTAACTATGAAGAAAGATAAGGGATATAAAAAAACTGAGACTTCTCTATTCAATCTATCCAACAAAAATAACAACTTGGACAAAAGCAATGGACTTGGATGAAGGTTGATTCCCTCACTTGAATCTTGATGCCTTTGAGAGCTTTTATGCCCTCCCCCATTTTTGTTGAACATCTTTCCTTGAACCTTTTGATTACGTTCTCAGTAAGAATTATGCCTTCTCGATCCTCCTTTGAAGTTGAGCCTTATGCTCCTTAAAACACTAGTCTAAAGAAAAACCAATCCAGTCTTATGCCTTAGCGGCTATCACACTTTGTGGAGAGATATTAGATGACCCAAGTTCTTGGGTGAATCCAAAATGGTTTGGTTCCAACTTCCTATCCTAATCTCTTGGGGATTGCCTTCTGCCCTACGGTCCCAAAAATGAATGGGTTGGGTTTCTCCTGGCTCGTTCCTCTTAACTTGTTAAGACTTTTACAAAAGATATCGTAATGATGCTGATGGGTGGATGTAATCCTTTTTGCTCATCCAAAAGTTGGAAAATTGTTGGTGTAAATGTAATCTCTGTTTCTCATAATATATTGTGATTTTTTATTTCTCAAGTTTCCTTTCACCATTGCCTTCATTTAATAAACTTTCTTTCTTGCTCTCAGGTTGCTCAAAAAACGGCCCAGAAGGTGTCTATCCAAAGCTCTGGCAAAATTATCCGCTGTCAACAAATCACCTGCAAGGAAGGTCAGGTAATATACCATGGGAATAATGTCAAGGAAAGAAAGAAAATGAAACTAGAAGAGAAGGAAAAGATTCCTGCAGTACAGACCACTGGAGTCGACTTTCGGATGCTCTGGGAGTTACAAGACGAGCTCGATGTTCGATATATATATTCCAATGACATCCATGCCATGCTAGAAACATACGGAGTGGAAGCTGCTAGGGAAACCGTAATGAGAGAGATACAAAATATCTTCAGTTCATATGGGATATCTGTCAATATTCGACACCTAACTCTCGTTGCTGATTATATGACTCATTCTGGCGGTTACCGACCGATGAGTCGACTAGGAGGCATAGCCGAGTCGATATCTCCTTTCAGTAGAATGACATTTGAGACAGCTTCGAAGTTCATTGTTCAAGCTGCATTTCATGGGGAGATAGACAACTTGGAAACTCCATCTGCTAGAATTTGTCTGGGTTTGCCAGCAAAGATGGGTACCGGTAGCTTTGATTTGATGCAGAAAATCGAAGTCTGATGAGTGGTAATTCTTGGCCTCATATTCTTGAGTTTTGAATCATTTAATTAGTTTTGGCATTAGAAGAGAGCGAGTTCTGCGGATGTAAATTTTGGATGCTATAAGATTTTGTATCATTAGCTTACCATTGTATCACTTATATTGTGTTTACATATAGAAACACGTGTGCAAGATTATTAACAAGCCCAAAAATGGCTCAGAAATTTTGTCCTGTTGAGAAATATTTGAACAATGGAGCCATGTAAAAAGACTACTAGAAATATTTAAGCATATTGTGTTGATCAATGACAACAATCTAATCCATTTGTATTGGATTCCGTTGTCTACGTGAATTTCTTGATATGAGCTTTCATTTTCACCTGGAATGGCTCATTTGAGATCTTTATTTGCTAAATTTAATTTTGTAGTTAAAAGAATTGATGGAATTTAATTTGAGAAATTGTAATTGTCTTATTTGTAAATGTAGTAAGGGTGTTGATCATCGATAGAGATGATTATGTCATATGTGCTTAACTTGAGCTAGATTTGTTATTATTTTAGTCAAGATTTGTTATATTAGTAATGACATTTTTAATTTTATATGGATGATGTTCTACTTAAATTTATAAATAAATGTTTTCTCATTAATGGTCATATTAATAGATCTTTATTATGATTGTTTTTTGATAACTCGGGATCGATGTGTGTGGTTTTGTCTACTAGATTCCTATAATCAAGGGTATTGATGACCTCCCAACACTATAATCAAGTGGGACTCGTCCTTGAATTGGGAAGAAAGTCTTTGCTATGCGTCCTTGAATTGGGGAGAAAGTCTTTGCTATGCGCTGAGGAGGATGTATTCTTATTTAGCAACATATCCACTACGCCACTACCCGTCAGATATTTTAATCGGAGATAGATGTCTTAACTAGTTAGCTGAAATTAGTTTGTTTAAAGTATATTTATTATTTGGTTTAGTTTTTTAATATAAAAAGGAAAATGGTCCGTTTGAATTCTGAACAATTTGGTGGTTCATTTATATCTAGTTTTCTATTTCCTCTGACTATATGTTTGTTACATTGTATTTCATCAATTATTATATTGTCATATTAATTAAAATTTGTTAAAGATACCATATTAAATATTGAGCTACTTAAAATCATACTAAATTTTGAACATAATTGAAAATTCTTAAATTTGAACCTCTAACACTTGTATATAAACTTGTCATATTTTGGAAACAATTAATTTCTTGTGCAACTTCAAAATCTCCTACCAATGGCCTTAGGCTTCTTTTCCAAAACCCAAATGGAAAATAAGTAAAAATTGCACGTGCCTTTCATCTTTTTCGTCCTTTTTTTTAGAACATAAAATTACAATTACGGGAGTGAAAATTTAAATATACAGCAAATAAGGAAACCTTAACTAATGCATCAATATCCAAATGTTTCGATGATCTAAATCATATCTTCATTAGAAAACCAACTAAATTCTTGTGTACTCGTTTTGAAACATTATGACTTTGGAATGGTCCCATGGACACCCCTATGCGCAATCTGCGTCTGATTATTCAGTTGAAGTGGAAGTTGGTTCAAATTATCGAAGGTAGAAATTTTTAGGAATTTAAAATTGGCAAGTCTTACACTGATCAAAACATAGTTGAGATTTGACAAATTATTCAACACTATTGCCTGAGAATATATTACTTGGTTTCTTAAATAAATATTACCTCCTGGGAGTTTCAACCAAAAATCTCTATAATTTACAAAAGGATGGACAAAGAAGTGACTGCATACCGCACATTATAAACGTCGCTCCCGTTTCAACGCTCCCGTTTCAACCCGATGATGGTTCAGCTCCATCATGAAGGGCACAGCAGATAGTTGCTTTGTGATGACCTTGATAAACCTTCATCTCTTTTCCAGTTGACATGGACCAGAGTCTTGCGGTAGTGTCAGATGAAGCTGCATTCACAAAGCATCTCAGGTTTTATTTGCACACCGTATATATGTAAGGCTTAATGTATTCAACAAAATTTTAGAAAAATGCCTCAAAAGGTTTGATAGGATAATGAAATTAGCCAAGGTGTGCACAAGCTAATCCGGAAACTCATGGATACAAAAAAATATGTTAGTTCATTCTAATCACAATTCTTGAGATTATTGTTTCTTTTTCTTTACAATTGTGAATATCCAAATCAGTTTTTGGATATTGGCATAGGACAACCGTATAACATTTAAGGTTAAAAACCAGGTAGTATAACTAATGTGTTAGAAAAATAACAACTTTGGTTTGAATCTACATTATCTAGAAATGCAGTCAAAAGAGATCAGAGCTCTCAAAGCAATTTAGAAGAAAAATAGAGCCTACTGAGACCTCATTTGTCAATAACAAATCACCTGTTATAAGATATGCACCATCTACTGAGAAGACGCAGTCCCACACCCAGCGTTGATGTCCTGAAAAGCACATGGAATTGTGAAATCAAGCACTTCACTTGCTTCTCATTAACCGCCAGTAAGATCCAGTATAATATTAAACATATATTTTCTATAGAAACAAAATTATATAAATGAAGTAGATACCGATAAGAGTTTTCTCTAATGTGAAACCATCGACATTCCAGATTTTGACAGTGCTGTCAGAAGATGCAGTGGCAAGGTATCTAAAAGATGTGAAGCCATGTGAATGTTACAATTTGCAAAAGCATCCAAGTTGTGGAACAAAAAGAAATAAAAGAAAAGACATGGATAATGTTGAACAAAAAGAAATGAAAGAAAAGAGAATGCATTAGGTCAGAGGAACAAGACCGGTGGGGTTCACAGAACTCAGGTGAAAGAAGACACTTGAGAATGTATCCCTTGTGTGCTTGAAGTTTATGAAGTGGCTCAAAGTTTGTCATCGTCTGAAAGAGAAAAAGGGGTCACACTATTTGAATTGTAAGCTGTACAATAATCAGCATTCTGCATTTAGGTACAACCTGGGTGCCACGTAACAAGCGCCAGACATAACATGTGCCGTGATTATTTGCTGCAACTACCAGGCTCCCATCCCACATAACCGTCAACGATCTTACAGCTGTATCCACTTCTGGCACCTGGCATCACACTAGATTACTGAGATTTATACATGATAATCCAGTGTGACTAATTAACTTTTGTGCGTTTTTAGAAGAAACAAACCGTTGATATTTAAAAAGTTACCCAAGTAAATAAAGTACAAAACTTCGGTTTAGGAGGTTTCAAATATTATAAGTTTTACCACCGAACTGACCTTCTGAAATCTTTGAACAGCCTCTTGTATCTCTAAAACTTCACACCCCCAAAAAATTTCCTTCCATAATTTAACGATCTTAAGGAAACTTCTCCTTTTGCACTTCTTTTTCTTTTTATTTTTCCAATCACTTGAGATTAGGCTTTGGAGCTGAACTAATCCTGAACTTCTATAATAAGTACTGAGTACAGCCACCCAAAGTGATTCCTTCATGAGCTCATTTTCTTCCAATCCATTTGAGGATGGCAATCCGAATTCAGAAGCATCATGACTACAAACACTTAAATAAAGGCTATCCATTAACCCCAACCATGGGTTTTCAACCACTTCCTTCTTTACACGAGTGATGAAGTGCTCTAATGCTATTCTACAGATTTTTACCCGTGTCCTTGGATTTCCTTATCATTGTCCTGAGGGAATTTCATCTCAATCTTTATGCAATATTATTTATAAATAGTTACAAGTACTTTTTACCTAAAGATGTTATTTTCATTTGAGTAATATTTCATCTTATAGAGACTGAAATCACAAAGAACAGAAAAAATTAAAAGCTCATTGACAATCTACAAGCAGTTGCAAACAAAATACAAGGCACGTTTGATTAAGATAGTATACAAACGAAATGCTCAAAGCAATACCAATTCACAGCTGCATGAATTTGCCGTCAAATCCCAAACACGAATATTACCATTTTGATCTCCAGATATCAGTTCAGTCTGCAAATGACACAAATTTGGTTAAACAATGCAAAAGCAAAATGATAAGGTAAGCTAATTCTCCTCGGTTTAATCTCTCGGCAGAAAGCAAGACAGAATTGGTTAAATGAAAATGGAAAAATTAAGATTCCTTCTCATGCTCAAAAAGTTAAACAAATAAATCACAATCAAGAGAGGTTCTTGTGCACTGTTTTGTGCAATATTATTATTATTACTACTACTATAACGATAAGAAACAACTTACCATTACGTAAGCAGAACTAAAAGGATTTTAAGTAACATTGAACTCCAAAGAGGAGTAGAGATGTGATAAATGACCTGATTTGGATGTAGAACAACAGTATTAACTGCTGCACGACTTTCATATTCCCTCTGACAGCCAGGAGCCCTGCATAACAAAATAAGTCCAGATAAAATTGAAAGCAAGCCTAGACAACATCAAACATATGTATAAAAGCAAATAATGACACGTTAATTTGAATGCTTTCTTTACCTCAAATCCCATATTTTTACTGTGCCATCCTCAGACCCTGAATACATCCAGTTCCCATCACATTGAAACCCCACTGACATTACATTGTTAGTATGTGAATCATAACTCATTATCTGCCATGGAGTTTGAGGGTAAAAATAGAAAAAACAAGTTCATTAGCAAATGAAGGGAAGATCTTATTTTCACTCGGATTCCATCTAAAGATGTTTTAGAAAATGTAGAAGAATAAGAATTAAATAGTAGCAGTAAGGTGTTAAAGAAATATGAGCAGGTCACATACTGGTTGAGGGCTGTTTGAATTGATATCGAACAATCGTATGTGAGGATTACCAGCAGCAGCCAAATATCTTTTGTCTGGGGTAATCTCCAGTTTATTGACTTGCTGCGCACGTTATTTATGGTAATCAGACAAATGAGGAAGTAAAAAACATTCACAATTAACTGTTACCAGAAAAAACCAAGGGGTAAGGCTAACTTCTGCTACCTAGACTTCAGTTAGTTAAGCCAAGCCCTGAGGCAGAACTACCACCCTGCCCAAGCAAAGTCTTTCTTCTTACTCTTAAATTAAAATCGAATATTTATTCCTTTCCATTATAATAAATATTATACATTTTTTTAACAAGAAACAAACTTTTCATTGATTATGAAAAGGAACATAAAATGTTCAAAGATACAAACTCTAGAAAGAGTGATTGTACATATATTTCTTAAAAATATAAATATTATACATATCAAGATCTCAAAGTTAACTTTATGGGGTTCCTTTTCATACCTCTTTGCGTCGCAACTAAATATAAGCAAAGCAATGTAAGCTATGACTTCTTTTTACAAAAATCTGATGAACTATCAATTTATAAATGAAGAGAATGAGGTATCAGTCCTTTCTCTCTCTCTCTCTCTCCCATCGTTTTTTTTTTCTTTTCCTTCCATTTCCATAGAACTTCCAGCTTAAGAAACAAAATTCTTTCTATTTTTTCAATTGCCTCTTGCCTTATTATATGCATTGATGCTTCCATGACTAAGTTTCAATAAGAAGCAATTGATTTTCTTTTGATATTGATGTGACAAATCTCCTTGTACAGGAACTCTCCGAAGGAACTTCATTATCCATAAAAAGAGAGCGCACTGCCACTCATCAAGGAACAAAATTCTTAGTTTTTTTCAATTGTCTCTTCATTTATGTGTGCATTGATGCTTCCATTATTAAGTTCCCACAGGAAGCAATAGACTCTATTTGGATATTTATTATGACAAATATCCTGGTATGGGGATAAACTCTCCAGAGGAGCCTTGTCTACAAGATCCATAAAAAGAGAGGATACCAAAAACAAACCATCTCCTCCAAAAAGTTTCTCCAAAACCAAGATCCCAAGAGTTTGTAGAGGCATTTGGAGAATCCTTTATGGATAAGGATTTATGGTAGGAAAGGTGAAAAGGTCTCGGAAAAGCTCCAGAGAGAGAGGTATCAACAATCCAACTGTTGATCCAAAAATATATTTTTTTTAATAAGAAAAATAAAAAATAAGTAGAAGAGCCCTTTCCAACATTTAATAATACTATTGGAAATTAGGTCTATCATTCTTTTAAGGGATTTCTATGGACCTTTGATTGAATTAAGAGTGTACTAAGCTAGAGAAGAGATCATGATGAGTGATGGTAGGTGGACCCAAATTTAGCTATAATAACTACTCTTCAAAGGGCTTATTTCCGACCCAGATTATCTCAACCCAACCTTCTATCAGTAGGAAGCTTGACCTTGTTCCAGATTACCAAATGGCAGGTACAATTATTTTTTTGTTTCTCCCCATAAGAGGCCCCATAAATAATTTCTACAACTAGCTAGTTACTTTGATGGGTATGAGGTATGAGAAACAATGATCTATAATAGTGGGGAGTGGAGAGGTTGAATACAGTGTAACTTGTATAAGAGTGAGTCATCCACCTTTTGAGAAAGTTACATTCCTCCATTTCTTAAGTTTTTGTTTGTTCTCTCAGAGATCAGGAACCTAAAGGAGGATGCTCATCGATTTCCATTTTCCATTAAGGGGGATACCGAAGTAGGAACTAAACCAAATACCATGAGAGCAGCAACCAGCAACTAAAGCCTTGGTATTGTATTCATCACAATTAAGACCCAAGAGTTCTAACTTCCCTTAGCTGATCTTGAGGCCGGAAGCTTCTTCAAGACCTTGATGACATTGAAAATATTGATGCTGTGTATGTGGAGGATGCAAAAAAGAACAGTGTCATCAATGAATTGGAGATTGTTGATAGAAAGAGATTCACCTCCCAAGTCTCAATCCAAATCCCTTTGTTAAGCCTTTAGAAGTACCATGAGAGGAAAGCCTACTAAAACAATGTGCAACAATAATGAAGAGCAAAGGAGATAAAGGACCACCTTGACAGATACCTATTACAGAATTTTGCCTCTTGATTTGCTATTGATAATGATGGAGAAGTTTGCGCTTGATACAATCCCAAATCCACTTTCTCCATTAAGGCCTGAAGCCTTTGAACTTTAATCTAACAAGAAGAATCTATCCAAGAAGTCCTGATCGATCATGTCAAATGTTTCAACGAAAAACTTCAAACCACGATCCTATGGAAGAAGCATGTACTTATGTATCGCTCCCTCAACCACCCAATTTACATTTTCACCACCATACAATATCCTACATTAAGATCTCCAACTTACTTAGCGTTAAGGGAGAGTCTCTCAACCTTAAGATGATGGCTAAGCCCTTCTCTCATCCTTATTAACTAAAGAGGAGAGTTAGTGTGTGTGTGTCAAATTGAAGACGTGCATCAGTTTTATACTACACAACAACTGATAACTTATCATGTGTCTTTAAACAAGCATATATACTCTTTAAACGGCAATATCAAGAAGAATATTGTAAAATCATGCACGCATCCAAACAAATTTCTTAACTGTGAAGTCTTTCAAATATTATTGCGTTTCCCAAAGCCACACCTTTATGAACTGACAGAATGGACTTGTTCCAATCTTTTAAAATGCTCAAGTAACATAAAAGAGGACAGTTAAGCATGTCATAATGCTCCGATAATGTGATAACTTTCCAATTTATCACATTCGAAATACGACAAAAAATTCTTCCAAAATTCCTAACGGAAAAGAGAAACATAACGTAGAATAACCATGAAACACACAGAAACCCAGTAGGAAAGGATTTATGAACTAACAGAATCTGGGTACTGTATAGTTCGGTAACAGCGACCACTTTTGGCCTCCCAAAACCTAATAGTGTGATCATAGCTAGCAGTTGCAAGTATCACTGATGGTTGAGTCATCTTAATCTCCTGAAAAAATAAGAAGGAAAATACAGAGTAAATTGAAAGGCCAGATATAAAGTTGATAAATTTCTCCATTATAGCCACAGGTAGCAAATGCATTTGTGTCTGATTAAAGTGAAATATACCTCAGGATTTGTGGAACATGGGCATCTTCGAGTCAATCACGGAAGTGGCTCAATAAAACCATGAGGAATAGTGATCACTTGGAGGCGCTAATCAATGAAGGTGAGAACAAACGCCAGTTTCTTTCTTCCACAAACAGTATCGATCGACGGGGCGAGCATGGGATCACCGTCGGCGGGAAGGGTCGGGACTCCGGCGAACCCTAAAGGCCCGAAATGAAGGAATCCATCGTATGAGTGGATGTCTTCTGGACTAACTCCGGCAGTAGCCCGGCGACGGATCGGTGACAGACGAAGCTATGGCCACGGGAGATGATTGTTGGCAGAAAATAACATCATTTGAATATTCTATATTTTTTTGACAAATATATTTCAAGACATTGCAATATCCAACGTTAAATATTCAAATCAAACCTTTTAAAAAAAACATACATTTTTCTTAGTTTAACAACTCATCCAATTTTATTTATTCTAGGTATTTATTTTAAGTTCTTGCACTCTCAACTTTTATTCATTAACTTCTCTTTTTGATCATTGTATTTTTTAAAGGGATCGTTTCGATCCATATTTACAAAATTTAAGTGAATTAACGAGTGAAATAAATTTAAAATAAATAAAAGTAAGGAGCTAAAATGGGAGACCAAAACAACCATTTTCAAAATTATGTGTAAAAATCAAAATGTAATGAAACTAAAACAAACAAAAAGAATATTTAAACTTGAAAAAAATGAAAAGTCACATTTTTTTTAAAATTTATATTAACTATAAGCTATGTTAGCGTAATTACATTATATCTGTTGGTAGAGGATATATTTAGGATGTTTTTGAGAGTAATATTAAGAAAACATATTTATAGGCAGTTTTAAAATAGTTAAATAATTTTGTTTAATAATTTAATTTTTTGGGGCACGTTGAAAACTCCGATATTTCCTTCAACAACTTATTTACAATTCAATTCCAACACTGAGAAACTTCATAATAGTCATACAAAACTAACAGAGAGGTCACAATTTATGCACCCAAGTCACCTGAAGTAAAAGCAAAATAAATAAATAAATAATAATAATAGGGGAAAATAATCAAATTTCCACACTAACAGAAAAATCCTGTTAAAAAATAAAACCATAATGGAACAATCCTGATCTAGCTTCTCTCTTCACCTTGGCTGGGATTTGGATGGTTCAACTGCAGTATCAAATGCAAACAATATTACAAAGCAGAGCAAATTTCAGCAAAATTTCTGGAAATATGAACCAAACTTCTACAATGCATTGGTTATTCAATAAGATTCATTTATCAAGGTAAGTAAAATCGTCTCTTCGTTCAAAAATCATCTGCAAAAACTTCTACTTCATGCTAGCGCTTCCTATGATATACAGAAGTAATACCGCAACGTTCATTTCTATAGCTTGCTCAGAGCTTGGCGTGGGGTGGGGGGATGGTAAAGAATGCCTACTGGAGGTGTTTTCGTTGTTCTTCGTATGCGACCAATGGCCACCGACCACGCTGCATAAGAATCTAGTTGTAAATAAATGACATAAGAGATGCTTTTGATGCAGTGAAAAGAACTCAGAATGAAGAAGTATATTTTGTTTTTGGGGGAATCAAATACTCACTCAATGGCGAGGCTATCTAGGATGCAACAGTTCTTGCTCAATGGACTCAAATTCTTTAAGGTTGGTAACCACATTTTGAACTTTTCTCGATAGTTGGTCGGTATGCTCTTCAACAATTTTCATAAATGCAGCAAGCTGTTCTTGGTATGTCGAGCATAACCGTTTCTTATTCCGCAGCTCTATAGTAAGTTCCTGTATTTGCTTATCCTTTTCATCCTGTAAGGAAAAATCCAGAATCAATGATTTCAATCATGATACAACAATATAAATGTAGTAGGTCAATCACCAACAGAAAAATTTTAGCAATCAGCATAAAAGTAATCCTAAGAACTTCTATTAGTCTAGGTGAGGCATTCCCCCCCTTTAAATGCTAAAATATCGCCAATGAATTGGTTGTCGAAAAGGGTGTCATGCCTGAGAAAACAGTACAAATTTAAGTGGGGGAATTTGAATCCTATATAGAAACCTTAAATTAAGGTAATTTTGAAGCCTCTACTAAATCAGCCTTCCTAAAACTGACAGAAACCCCCCAGAAGCTTCAAACATCGCTGACCAAATCCATTTGGAAGTGTGATTGGCCTACAAAGGTCAATTTTTTTCTGTGGAGTCTTGCTCACAGAAGTCTAAACAGTTATGAAAGGCTCCAAAGAAAACTCTAAAAATTGGGGGCTGTCTCCTTCGACATGCAGTCTATGCTTGAGCCGTGATGAAAATTTAGACCATCTATTCCTCCACTGTCTTTTTTATTACAAAAGTTGAAGTTGGGTTTTTGTGATGAAGGAATTGGATATACTCCTCTGCCTTCCAAAGAGGGCTGATGACTGGGTTATGGAAGTGCTTAATGGGTGGCTTTTGAAAGCCAAAACGAAAATCCTGTGGTAATGGGCAGCTAGAACCCTTTTGTGGAGCCTTTGGAGCAAAAGAAATCAAAGAGCTTTTCACAACCACCCTTCTTCAAGTCAGTTTTTTGTAATAGTGTACAGTTAAATGCCTCGTTGTGGTCTTTAAATGAATTTTTTGGTAACTATTGGACGACTGTCCATCATTGGTTCTTCTAGGAGGCGCCTCCCCTTCCCCTGCCCTTAGATTATTTTTTAATTTCTTATCAAAAAATAAAAAAGAAAACATCACATTTCTATTCCACGTCTAAGACAAACAGATCGAATTAACCTGACTGAACTAACCATGTAAGTGTTCTATTCATTTTCGTCCATTAAAAAGGTCTGGTTTCTCCTCACAAAGCAAGCTGGAAACCGATACTCTGGGTTAAAAAGGTGGCAGTGGAATACAGGTCAATGAAGTACACGAACAAGTAAATTTGTCCTAGTGTCAAAACCCCTTTGTCTTCCTGCCTCTTGCAAATTTTTGCTGCATCTATGTTAAACTTGTTGAGAAAAAAAAAATCATGTCCTCAGATATAAAAAATAACACCCTTTGTTATCTTCGACCCATTGAAATTTCTGTCAGTATGGGGATAACCCAACAAACTCAATTTTCATATAAATTCCCTCAGTTTAACACTAACACACTCCTCAAGATATGAATGAAACCAGCCAGAATTTTGTGGTTCCATGCAGTAGCAAGTCTTCTATGAAAATTATGGACGAAAAGGAATACGAGAACTGTTATAGGAGAAGAATTATCTTAGATGATATGTGGGATATCTATCTTCATGCCTCAAAGTGGTGCTCCTATTCATAGATTTTTGTAATTACGGTTTTTTCGCAAATTCATGCCAATTGGAAATCCTCTTTGTACTTCCCTTAGCTTTGCGAATATCTCACCTCCTTTTGTACATCCCTCCTATGGGCCACTATTGTAATTTCATTCATCCATGAAATTGTTTCATTTACCAGGAAAAAAAAAGGAATCTCAATGAAACCTTGGGATAAGAAACAATACTTTCATTATGTTTTTTTAGATAAGAAACTTCAATATATTCCACAAAAAACCAAAGGAACAGCCTAAGGGCTGAGGTTGAGAGAACCCCACCCAAAAGAGAAACTAAACAACCACTTTCCAATTGTTCTTAAACGAGGAAAGGTGGTAGTTACAAAAGAATTTCCTATAATTGATACACCACCACGAGGCGGTACGCATTTCTACAAAAAATTTCAAAAGTAGAGGACTTATCATCAAACACACGAGAGTTCCGTTCCAAAGGAGGCTATAAAGAACTCTAAATGGTTCAAGAACGCCAGGAGGCTATAAAGCAACCCTAACAAAACTCTAGGCAAGGTCATTGTAAACTTCATAGGAACTACAACAGAAAAATATATTATGTCCTCAGTCCTCCAATTTCCACACTCAATAATAAAGGTAATCTCTAAAGTCACACCAAATGAGTATCACCCCTGATTTGTAAAAAAATGCAAGCGGAAAAGAGCAAGAAAAACAAGAACAATGTAAAATATAGGCTCAATTCAATAAAAACAAAAAAAGACAGAGAGAATATAATTTTGTGAGTTAGTAGGAGGATGCAAAGAATAGAAAGGTTGATGAAACACCAGGAGGACTAGGACTGAATTGGCGTGATGGAAGATATTTATGAGAGGAAAGCAGCTTCTCCCTAAAAGCAAGGTAACAACTACAGATAATATATATGATTTTTTATTTTTACAGACGAGTCCTCATTATCAAAACAGTTGATGGGGTGTAGAGGCAAAGATGCTGCACTTCCACAATTTATTCTCTTGAAATAGCTCTCCTTGTATAATCGTAAGATATATCCATATTTAAAAGATAAATGAATCAGATATGTTTCTAAATTCTACAGAGCAGTAGGCATTTCCAATTATTGCCAATTCCATAACAGCTATGCATATTACACAAAAAGCACAACCGCAACAAATACAGTCTTTTTTTATATAGTGAAAGGCAACGAAATGACTGTCAGAGAAAAAGGAATCTAAAACTGAAGCCAATTATTGTTAATAAAGGGATGAACAAATGTAACAGTGAACATAAGTAAATTGACAATTGTAACATGATATGTTTGATTGAAGTTAAAAATTGAGGAAGAGAAACACGCACCATGGTTTGACGAGCTTCACGAGGAGAAACCACGAGAGGATGATTATGTTCCTTTACAAATTTTGTGATCACCCATTTCCCAGACTTATCATACTTTACATGAATCATTGCCTTACAGCCTTCTCGTGTGCTCGGCCGTGGCTTCCGAACTGCCCCAAATTTACCTCGGATACTAACACAATACCCCTCTTTATTGCATCCAAGTCTCCGGGCAAGTATCCTCCCATCTTTTTCAGAGCGACGACAGGACATCACACGCATAACAAATCCCACCTGACGTGCATACTTATCATAGAAAATCTTCGCATCATCTTCAGATTCAAATTCCATGCCCTCATAAGGCTCAAGAATAATATCTCCATCACATTCAATTAATTCTGTTCCTGCTGGACTCTCAAACGATCCTCCCTCTATCCCTTCCTCTCCCTCATCTGCGTCCACTGTCAGAAGACATCTTTCACTATTATCTCTCAAATCCATCTGAAAGTTATCAATATCTACATAAATTAACTAAACAACTCGAGAAACAATTAGAAAAAACAAGATAGATGATCGCACTTTGATTTCCAAAAGCATAGCAAAATCAACAAAAAAGAAAACCACCCCGGAGAGCAATTGATAAAAAAACGTCAAACAAACCCCATTTGCATAGTTACATCATCCAAACAAAAAATGGCGGCACACCCAATTACCGAAATCCATACAAGAACCGAAAGTGGAAAATAGTTCATCAATTGCTCTCGACTCTGTGGAGCTAATTCCGCGAAATGGGCAAGAAAATCAAGAACAACAATACAGTTTTGATGTGTCTTCAATTCAAGCCTCTCATCACAACTTCAGTGTGAGACCCAGAGGATTGGGAAAACAGGATAAAGAAGAACGATTAGAATTTAGAAAAAGTAAGAGAAACAATACCCAGATGAGCGAGTGAAGAATTGAGAGGGGAGAAGCAAGAAAGAAGGCGAGTGGCGGCGACTGTTGTCTGCGAAAATGGGTGTCGAAAACTTGAAGGAGGAGCGAAGAAAAGATAAAGAAGGTGGAAAACAGAGATGTGTGTGTACTGTGCGGTGTTGTCGCTGCAATGGGATGGGACTTTGGGCTT